GAGGCGGAGCCTCGCGGTGGCCCCGCCCCAAAGCCGTCCTGGGCGGGGCCTGCAGGGTCTGGCCCCGCCCCCAGGGCCGGCCACGCCCCGCCAGGGCGACCAATGGCGGCCACCAAGAGCCCTGGGGCGGGGGCCAGAGGGGGCAGGGGTCACTGGGAGGGACTGGGAGGACTGGGGGGACTGGGAGGGACTGGGGGGGATTGGGAGGGACTGGGAGGGGATTGGGAGGGACTGGGGGAGATTGAGGGGATTGGGGGTACTGAGGGGCACTGGGAAGAGGTAATGGTGGGCGATAGGGGGTTACTGGGATGCGGTGGGATATACTGGGATGTACTGGGGGGTTACTGGGATGTACTGGGATGTACTGGGGGAGCATTGGGATATACTGGGGGGGCATTGGGATGTACTGGGATGTACTGGGGGGCAATGGGGGGTTACTGGGATGTACTGGGGGTTACTGGGATGTACTGGGGGCTTACTGGGATGTACTGGGATGTACTGGGGGAGCATTGGGATATACTGGGGGGGCATTGGGATGTACTGGGATGTACTGGGGGTTATTGGGATATACTGGGATGTACTGGGGGGTTACTGGGGGGCACTGGTAGGTTATTAGGATGTACTGGGGGGTTACTGGGGTGTACTGGGGTGTACTGGGATGTACTGTGGGGTTATTGGGATGTACTGGGATTTACTGGGGAGGCACTGGCGGGTTACTGGGATGTAGCAGGATGTACTGGGGGTTACTGGGATGCCCTGGAATGTACTGGGGGGGCAATGGGGGGTTACTGGGATGTACTGGGATGTACTGGGATGTACTGGGGTGGCACTGGGATGTACTGGGATGTGCTAGGGGGTTACTGGGATGTACTGGGATGTACTGGGATGTACTGGGGGCACACTGAGGGGTTACTGGGATATACTGGGATGTACTGGGGGGTTACTGGGGGGCACTGGCGGGTTATTAGGATGTACTAGGGGGGCAATGGCGGGTTACTGGAATGTACTGGGATGTACTGGGATGTATTTGGGGGTTACTGAGATGTACTGGGATGTACTGGGATGTACTGGGGGGGCACTGGGGGGTTACTGGGATGTACTGGGGGCACACTGAGGGGTTACTGTGACGTGCTGGGGGGTTACTGGGATGTACTGGGGGGTTACTGGGATGTACTGGGACGTACTGGGGGGCACTGAGGGGTTACTGGGATGTACTGAGAGGGCAATGGGGAGTGACTGGGATGTACTGGGATGTACTGGGGGGTTATTGGGATGTACTGGGATGTACTGGGACGTACTGGGATGCACTGGGAAGGGTCCATACCCGCGAGGAAGGCGGAGGCGGAGCCAAGCGCCAGCACAGCCAATGGGTGGAGCCGTGGGCGGGGCCGTGGGCGTGGCCTCCTCCTCCGTGGGCGTGGCCAGAGGGGCAGGGGCAACGCACGATCGGCCCCCGCCCCTCCGGCCTCCCCTCCTCCTCCTCCTCCTCCTCCCCAGCCCGGGGGTCCCTGTACCGGGAATAGGACACGGGACCCCGGGGCGTACTAGGGGGTCAGGGGGTCAGAGCCCCCAATCTCCTCTTTTGGGGTCCCAGACCCCCGGATCCCAAAATTTGGGGGAGGGGGAGGGGAAAGGGGGAGGGGAGGGGGTCTTTTACCCGTCCTTGGAACCACAGCCTGAGGGTCTCCATCACCTGGGGGGTCCTGGGGGGAAAAGGGGGTCCCAGGGGGTTTAGGGGGGTCGGAGGGGCAGAAGAGGCGATTTTGGGGGTCCCAGGGGGATTTGGGGGTCTGGGGAGGGAGGTCTGGGGGGAGATTTAGGGGTCCCAGGAGGGAGGGAAAAGGGAAAGGGGTGAAGAAGCCCCAGAATTTTTGGGTTTTGAGGGGTCCCAAAACGCTGAAATTCCCCTTTCCCCCTCCCCCTCCCTCCCCCAGCCCGGACTTTGCCCGCAGGGCAGAGCTTTGCCCCTCCTCTCCTGTACACCCTCTTAAAAAACCCCCAAGACCCCTCAGACGCCCCTAGGACCCCCAAATCCTTCCAGACCCCCAAATTTCCCCAAATCCCCTTGCCCCCCCAATTTCCCTCACCTCAGGACCGCGTGGCCTGTGCGGGGAGAGGGCGTGGCCTTTGGGGGTGGGCGAGGCTTAACGCCGAGTGGGCGTGGCCGATGTTTTGAGGTGATTTGCATAAAGGGGCGTGGCTAAATGGGCGGGGCCAACTGGGTGGGCGGAGCAACGCAGGGAGGGGGCGTGGCTTCGGTAAAGGGTGTGGTCACTGCCCCGCGTGGTGGGGAGTTTGGGGGGTTTTGGGAGGCTTTGAGGGGTTTTGGGGGGGCTTTGAGGGGTTTGGGGGTCAAAAAGACCCGAATATTTTAGGGGGCACATAAATATTGGGGGGGCAGAGGTTTGAGGGGTTCCAGAGGGTTTTTTTGGAGGGGGTGGGGAAGATCCTGGGATTTTGAGGGGTTTCAGGGATTTGGATTTTGGGAGGTCCCCTATTTTGGGGGAGGGGGAGGTTTTGGGGTCCCAGAGTTTTTGGGAGGGTCCCATAAGGTTGAGATTCTCCGATTTTGGGGGTCCCAGAGTTTTGGGGATCCCTGGGGGTATTTTTATGGGTCCCACAGTTTTGGGGGTCCCAGAATTCTGAGAGTCCCATAAGGTTGAGAATCTCCTGATTTTGGGGGTCCCAGAGTTTGGAGGTCCCAGAGTTTTTGGGGATCCCTGGAGGTATTTTTTGGGGGAGAGGGGACGTTTTGGGGTCCTACAGTTTTGGGAGTCCCAAAGTTTGAGAGGATCCCTGGGGGGTATTTATGGAGGGAGGGGAGGGTTTGGGGGTCCCACAGTTTTTGGGGTCCCATATGGTTGAGATTCCTCTGATTTTGGGGTCCCAGAGTTTGGGGGGTCTCAGAGATTTTGGGATCCCTGGGGGTATTTTTATTGGGGGGAAAGGGGAGGTTTTGGGGGTCCCACAGTTTTTGGGGGTCCCATAAGGTTGAAATTCTCTCCCATTTTCGGGGTCCCAGAATTTGGGGTCCCAGAGTTTTTGGGGAATCCTGGGGGTATTTTTTTGGGGGGAGGGGAGGAGGTTTGGGGTCCCACAGTTTGGGGGTCCCACAGTTTTGAGGGGGTCCCATAAGGTTGAGATTCTTAGATTTTGGGGGTCCCAGAGTTTGGGGGTCCCAGAGTTTTTGGGAATCCCTGGGGGTATTTTTGGGGGAGTGGAGGGGAGGGTTTGGGGGTCCCAGAGTTTGGGGTCCCACATTTGGGAGTCCCACCCTTTGAGGGGATTTGGGGAGGGGGATTTGGGGGGGATTTGGGGGTCCCAGTAGGAAGGAGCAGTCGACTTTCACATAAATATCTCGTGTTTACATTAACTTACAGAGTTTTTTGGGGTTGGGGGAGGGGTTTGGGGGGTGTTTTCTTTGGGGGGGGTCTCCCCTGAGTGACAGCTGTCAATCAATCACCCGGGTGGGCACAATGATTGACAGCTGTCAATCACCTGCCGGCACGTCCAACGCGCCGGGGGGAGGGGAGCAGATGAAAGGGGGAGGGGTTTGGATGATTGACAGGTGTCAGCAGAGATGATTGACAGCTGTCTGAGCTGATGATTGACAGCTGTCGGTGGTGGTGATTGACAGTTCTCGGTGTGGGTGATTGACAGCTGTCGGTGCTGATGATGGGTTGATTGACAGCTGTCAATGCTGCTGATTGACAGCCTCAATGCCAGTGATTGATTGATTGACTGATTGATTGATTGATTGACAGCTGTCATTGCTGATGATGGGTTGATTGACAGCTGTCAGTGCTGATGATGGGTTGATTGACAGCTGTCAGTGCTGATGATTGACAGTCTCTGTGTCAGTGATTGATCGATTGACTGATTGATTGATTGACAGCTGTCAGTGCTGGTGGTCGATGTCAGTCATAGCCAAGCTGGATTGACAGCTGTCATTGCTGATGATGGGTTGATTGACAGCTGTCAGTGCCGGTGATTGATGAGGGATTGATGGAGAGCTGCCAGTGCTGGTGGGGGAGTGGCAGCTGTCAGATACAACCAGTGATTGACAGATGATTGACAGGTCTCTGTGATGATTGACAGCTGTCAATCAATCAATCACCCAGGACGGGAATCCACCAGGTACAACTGGTGATTTACAGATGATGGACAGCTCTCTGGGATGATTGATGCCTCTCTGGGATGATTGACAGCTGTCAATCAATCAATCACCTGGGACAGGCATCCGCCAGGTACAGCCGGTGATTGATGGATGATTGACAGCTCTCTGGGATGATTGACAGCTGTCAATCAATCACCTTGGACAGGCATCAGCCAGGTACAGCCGGTGACTGATTGATGGATGATTGACAGCTCCTCTGGGATGATTGACAGCTGTCAATCAATCACCTGGGGCAGGCATCATCCAGGAACAGCTGGTGATGATTGATGGATGATTGACACCTCCTCTGGATGATTGACAGCTGTCAATCATCACCTCGGACAGGCATCAGCCAGGTACAGCCGGTGATGATTGATGGATGATTTACACCTCTCTGGGATGATTGACAGCTGTCAATCATCACCTGGGACAGGCATCAGCCAGGTACAGCCGGTGATGATTGATGGATGATTGACATCTCTGGATGATTGACAGCTGTCAATCAATCACCTGGGACAGGCATCAGCCAGGTACAGCCGGTGATTGATGGATGATTGACACCTCCTCCTCGATGATTGACAGCTGTCAATCAATCAATCACCTGGGACAGGCATCAGCCAGGAACAGTGGATGATTGACAGCTCTCTGGGATGATTGACAGCTGTCAATCATCACCTGGGACAGGCATCAGCCAGGTACAGCCGGTGACTGATGGATGATTGACATCTCTGGGATGATTGACAGCTGTCAATCATCACCTCGGACAGGCATCAGCCAGGTACAGCCGGTGACTGATTGATGGATGATTGACACCTCCTCCACGATGATTGACAGCTGTCAATCATCACCTGGGACAGGCATCAGCCAGGAACAGCCGAACCTTCCCTCGCAGGAACCGGGAATGGACCCCCAGGAGCCGGGGGAGGGTCCGGACCCGAGCACCGAGGGGGCCGAGGGGCAGGGGGGCCTGGGGGGAGAAATGGGGGGAAATTGGGGGGTCAGGACCCCTCAGGACCCCAGACCTTTTGGGGCCCACCCAGAACCCCCAAAAGAGGCAGAGAATCCCAACACACAGACCCCCAAACAAACCCAGGCCCCCAACAAAACCAGTCCCCCCATATCCAGAACCCCCACCGAGACAGACCCCCCACAAACCCAGAGTCCCCCAACACACCCAGACCCCCAACACACCAGACCCCCAACAAAACCAGACCCCCAACAAACCCAGACCCCCAACACACCCAGACCCCCAACAAACCCAGACCCCCAACAAACCCAGACCCCCAACAAACCCAGACCCCCAACACCCAGACCCCCAAAACCCAGACCCCCAGAGCCAGAATCCCCCAAACACACCAGACCCCCAGAGCCAGAATCCCCCAAACACACCCAGACCCCCAACACACCCAGACCCCCAACCACCTAGACCCCCAACAAACCCAGGACCCCCCAACACACCCAGACCCCCCAAACAAACCCAGACCCCCCACAAACCCAGACTCCCCCACACAAACCCAGACCCCCAACAAATCCAGACCCCCCTCAAAAAACCCAGACCCCCAACACACCGCAGACCCCCGAGTCAGATCCCCTAGAGCCAGACCCCCCCAACACACCCAGACCCCCAGAGCCAAAACCCCCAAGCAAGACCCCCCTCCCAGAACCAGACCCCTCCCCAACACACCCAGACCTCCCAGCAAGAACCAGGCACCCCCAACAAACCCAGACCCCCCCAAATCCAGACACCCCCCAAACCCAGACACTCCCCAACAAACCCAGACACCCCCAGAGCCAGAACCCCAACAAACCCAGACCCCCCCAACACACCCAGACCCCCAGAGCCAGAAAACCCCCAGAGCCAGAACCCCCCAAAAACGCAGCCCCTGACCGTGGCTCGGACCTCCCCCAACACACCCAGACCCCAACACCCCAGACCCCCAAAAAGACGCAGCCCCTGACCGTGGCTCGGACCCCCACACACCCAGACCCCCAACAAAACCAGACCCCCAGAGCCAGAAACACCCCCCACAAACCCAGCCCCCCAACAAACCCAGACCCCCAACATAATCAGACCCCCAGAGCCAGGAAACCCCCAACACACCCAGACCCCCCAGAACCAGACACCCCCCAAAGCTCCTCCCCAACACACCCAGACCCCCAAATCCAGAACCTCCCCGAGCAGGACCCCTCCCAGAACCAGACCCCCAACACCCCCAGACCCCCAACACCCCTAGACCCCCCAAAAACGCAGCCCCCTGACCGTGGCTCGGACCCCCCAACACACCCAGACCCCCAGAATGAGACCCCCAACACACCCAGACCCCCAGAACCAGACCCCACGCCCCAGAGTCTAGAAACCCCCTAACACACCCAGAGCCCCCAGAGACCAGACCCCACGCCCCAGAGTCAGAAAACCCCCAACACACCCCAGACCCCCAGAACCAGATTCCCCCAGACCCCTCCCCCAACACACCCAGACCCCCTAGAACCAGAAACCCCCAACACACCCAGACCCCCAGAAAGAGACCCCCCAACACCCCTAGACCCCCAACACCCCAGACCCCCCACAAACCAGGCCCCCAGCACCCCAGACCCCACAAAACCAGGCCCCCAGCACCCCAGCCCCCTCCCCAAAAGCATAGCCCCTGACCGTGGCCCGGACCCCCTGAGCAGCCGGGCCAGGCTCCGGGCGGCTCCGTACGCTCGGTCCAGGGTGGGCCGGAGTTGGGGGTCCCGGAGCAGCTCCCGAGCCCTCAGAACAGAGCGCACCAGGGCTGCCTGACCCCCACCTCCTGGCGCGGACCCCGCCTGGGGAGAACGAGGGGGTCACTAGAGTCCTGAGACCCCCCCAAACCCTCCCAGGCACTGGGGATAACGGGGGGGGGTCATTAAAGGGGGTCCTGAACCCCCACCCTGGGACAGCAGGGGGTCACTAAAGGGTCCTGGAAACCCCCAAAACCTCCCAGGCACTGGGGATAGCAGGGGGTCGTCAAGGTCTGAGACCCCCAAACCCTCCTGGGCACGGACCCCCGCCTGGGGAGAACGGGGGGGGGTCACTAAAGGGGTCCTGAAACACCCCCCCCAAAAACCTCCTGGGCACGGACCCCCGCCTGGGGAGAACAGGGGGGGGGTCACTAAAGGGGTCCTGAACCCCCCAAACCCTCCCAGGCACTGGGGATAACGGGGTCATCAAGGGGTCCTGAGACCCCCCAAACCCTCCTGGGCGCTGGGGAGAACGGGGGTCATTGAGAGGTCCTGAAACCCCCAAACCCTCCTGGGCACGGACCCCCGCCTGGGGAGAGCAGGGGTCCTCAGGGGGTCCTGAGACCCCCCCAAAACCCTGGGACAATGAGGGGGGGTCCTGAAACCCCCCCAAAACCTCCCAGGCACTGGGGATAACGGGGGGGGGTCACTAAAGGGGTCCTGAAACCCCCCCAAAACCTCCCAGGCACCCTGGGACAATGAGGGGGGGTCACTGAAGGGGTCCTGAGACCCCCCCCCACCTCCTGGGCACGGACCCCCGCCTGGGGAGAGACAGGGGGGTCACTCAGAGGTCCTGAACCCCCCACCTCCTGGGCACGGACCCCCGCCTGGGGACAACGGGGGGGGGTCACTGAGGGGGTCCTGAACCCCCCCAAACCCTGGGGACAATGAGGGGTGGTCCTGAAACCACCCCCCCCAAAAACCTCCTGGGCACAGACCCCCGCCTGGAGAGAACAGGGTGGGGTCACTAAAGGGTCCTGAGACCCCCAAACCCTCCCAGGCACTGGGGATAACGGGGGGGGGGTCACTCAGGGGGTCCTGAGACCCCCCCAGACCCTCCTGGGCACGGACCCCCGCCTGGGGACAACGGGAGTCACTCAGGGTCCTGAAACCCCCAAACCCTGGGGACAATAAGGGGTCCTGGAACACCCCCAAAAACCTCCTGGGCTGGAGCCCCGCCTGGGGAGAACGGGGGTCACTGAGGGTCCTGAACCCCCAAGCCCTGGGGGACAATGAGGGGGTCCTGAAACCCCAAAAACTCCCAGGCACTGGGGAGAACAGGGGGTCACTCAGGGGTCCTGAACCCCCAAAACCTCCCAGACACTGGGGAGCAACGGGGGTCACTCAGGGGGTCCTGAGACCCCCCCAAACCCTCCCAGGTATGGACCCCCACCCTGGGGATAACAGGGGGGGGTCACTCAGGGGGTCCTGAAACCCCCACCCTGGGACAATGAGGGGGGTCACTAAAGGGTCCTGAAACCCCCACCCTGGGACAATGAGGGGAGTCACTAAGGGGTCCTGAAACCCCTCCACCCTGGGCAATGAGGGAGTCCTGAAACCTCCAAACCCTCCCAGGCACCCTGGGACAATGAGGGGGGGTCATTGAGGGGGTCCTGAAACCCCCCCCCAGTCCCAGTTCGTCCCAGTCCAGCCCAGTTTTTGCCCCATTTCTCCCACTTTCTCCCCCATTTCTCATTTTTCCCACTTTTCCCCCCCCCCCCTTCCGTTTCCCCCTGATTTTCCCAATTTTCCCGGATTTTCCATTTTCCTCCTCCCCTTTACTCAATTCTTCCATTTATCCCCCAGGTTCTCCTCCCTCCTCCCACCACAATTTTTCCCTATTTCCTGGGATTTCCCCCCATTTTTCCCAGGATTTCCTCTCCTTTTATTCCCAGTTTCCCTGGGATTTCCCTCATTTTTCCTGGATTTCCCCCCTTTTATTCCCATTTTTCCCAGTATTTTCCCCCCTTTTTTTCCCAGTTTCCCTGGGATTTCCCCTCATTTTTCCCAGGATTTCCCCCCCTTTTTTCCCAGTTTCCCTGGGATTTCCCCTCATTTTCCCCTGGTTTTCCCCCTTTTTTTCCCAGGATTTCCCTTTTTCCCAGGATTTCCCCTCATTTTTCCCAGGATTTTCCCCCTTTTTATTCCCAGTTTCCCTGGGACTTCCCCCCATTTTTCCCAGGATTTCCCCCCCGATTTTCCCAGAATTTCCCCCTCCTTTTTCCCAGGTTTCCCTCATTTTCCCTAGGATTTCCCCCTTTTCCTGGGATTTCCCCCTTTTTCCCAGTTTCCTGGGATTTCCCTCCTTTTTTCCCAGGATTTCCCCCTTTATTCCCAGGGTTTCCCCATTTTTCCCAGGTTCCCCCTTTTCCCAGGGTTTCCCTCATTTTTCCCAGATTTCCCCCCCCTTTCCCCCTGGATCTCCCCCCATTTTTTCCTGGGATTTCCCCCCATTTTTCCCAGAATTTGCCCCCTTTTCCCAGGTTTTCCCCATTTCCCTGGATTTCCCCATTTTTCCAGGATTTCCCCCTTTTTCCCAGATTTTCCCCATTTTCCCCGGATTTCCCCCTTTTTTCCAGTTTCCTGAGATTTCCCCCATTTTTCCTGGGATTTCCCTCATTTTCCCCAGGGTTTCCCCTCATTTTTCCCGGAATTTTCCCCCTTTTATTCCCAGTTTCCCTGGGATTTCCCCATTTTCCCCAGGATTTCCCCCTTTTATTCCCAGTTTCCTGGGGTTTCCCCTCATTTTCCCAGAGTTTCCCCCTTTTTCCCACTTTCCTAGATTTCCCCATTTTCCCCTAGATTCCCCCTTTTCCCAGTTTCCTCAGATTTCCCCATTTTTCCTGGGATTTCCCTTATTCCCAGTTTCCTGGGACTTCTCCTCATTTTCCCAGGATTTCCCCCTTTTTCCCAGGGTTTCCCCTTTTTCCTGGTTTCTCCCTTTTTCCCAGTTTCCTGGGATTTCCCTGATTTTCCTGGGATTTCCCCTTTTTCCCACTGTTTCCTCATTTTTCCCAGGATTTCCCCCCTTTTATTCCCAGTTTCCTGGGATTTCCCATTTTTCCCTGGATTTCCCTCATTTCCCTGATTTCCCCCTTTTTTTCCCCAATTTCCCTGGGATTTCCCCCCATTTTTCCTGGGATTCCCCCCCCCCATTTTTCCCAGAATTTCCCCCTCCTTTTCCCCAGATTTTCCCCTCATTTTCCCCCTGGATTTCCCCATTTTTCCCAGAATTTCCCCTCCTTTTCCCCAGATTTTCCCTCATTTCCCTGGATTTCCCTTTTTCCCCCCCATTTCTCAGGGTTTCCCATTTTCCCTGGATTCCCCTTTTCCCTTTTTCCCTGGGATTTCCCCTCATTTTTCCCAGGATTCCCCCTCCTTTTTCCCAGTTTCCCAGGGTTTCTCCCCATTTTTCCCAGGATTTCCCCCTTTTATTCCCACTCTCCTGGGATTTCCCCCATTTTCCCCTGGATTTCCTCCCTTTTTTCCCAGTTTCCCTCGGATTTCCCCCCATTTTTCCTGGGATTTCCCCCCTTTTATTCCCAGTTTCCCTGGGACTTCTCCTCATTTTTCCCGGATTTCCTTTTTTTCCCAGGTTTCCTTTTCCCTAGATTTCTCCCCTTTTTCCCAGTTTCCTGGGATTTCCCTGATTTTCCTAGGATTTCCCTCTTTTTCCACTGTTTCCCTCATTTTTCCCAGGATTTCCTACATTCCCAGTTTCCCTGGGATTTCCCCCCCTTTTATTCCCAGTTTCCCTGGGATTTCCCCCTGATTTTTCCTGGGATTTCCCCTCATTTCCCCCTGGATTTCCCCCCCTTTTTTTCCCCAATTTCCCTGGGATTTCCCCCATTTTTCCTGGGATTCCCCCCATTTTCCCAGAATTTCCCCTCCTTTTCCCCCAGGTTTTCCCTCATTTTCCCTGAGTTTCCCCATTTTTCCCAGGATTTCCCCTTTTCCCCAATTTCTCCCCTCATTTCCCCTGGATTTCCCCCATTTTTCCCGAGATTCCCCCCCTCTTTTTCCCCAGGTTTTCCCCTCATTTCCTCCTGGATTTCCCCCTTTTTTTCCCCCAATTTCCCTGGGTTTTCCCCCATTTTCCCAGTGATTTCCCTTTTCCCCAGGTTTTCCCCCATTTCCCTGGATTTCCCCCCATTTTTCCCCAATTTCCGAGGTTTTCCCCCTCCCTTCCACTCCCACTCACGTCGAGGCTCCTCCACAGATTGAAGTTCACTCTGGGTCCGGCACCGCCACCGGCTCGGGAGGTCAGCAGGGGCCACACTCCGGCCTGGGGTCACAAACACGGTGACCCCCAAAATCCACCCCCGACCCCCAAACCCCCTGATGTCCCCAAACCCCTCCCCGACCCCCCAAACCCCTCTCCGACCCTCCCCAAACCCCTCCCCGATGTCCCCAAACCCCCTCGATGTCCCCAACCCCTCCCCGACCCCCAAACCCCTCCCCGATGTCCCCAAACCCCTCCCTGATGCCCCCAACCCCCGGGGCCGTGACCCCCTCACCAGCCCCCTCTCGACGTCTCGGCCTCGAGGATGAAGCGCTCGACGCCGGGGTCGCAGAGGGAGGGGGACCCTCGGGGGACCCTCAGGGGCTCTGGAGTCGCCCTGGACCCCCAAAGCAGCAGCAGCAGCACACGCAGCCCTGGGGGGTCGGGGGTCAGGAACCCCTCGGGGGCACTGGGAGAACTCACTGGGAGAACTGGGGACCCCCACGAACCTCTCCCAGTATCTGGGACAGCCCCCGACACGCGTGGGACCGGACCCCCCCTCCAGGGACGACCCCCCACAGCACCTGAGCCCCCCCAACCCACGTGGTGCCTCGAGGACCCCCACCCACCCCCACCGGATACCTGGGACTCCCCGCGTGTCCAAAACACGTGGGGACCCCTCCCACCCCCAGGTACCCGAATCCCCACGGACACCTCGGACCCTCCTCCGGGAGCCCCACTCCACCCACGTGGTGTCCTCACGACCCCACCCACGGGGATTCCCCGGAACCCCTAAGACACCCTGAGTCCCCCGGGACCCCCACCCACGTGGTGACCTCCGCGACCCTCGAGACCCTCCACCCACCCACGTGGGTCCCTCGTGGACCCCTCAGGTACCTGCGACCCCCCACCCACGTGGTGTCTCAGGACCCCCGGGACCCCCACCCACCCACGTGGTGTCCTCAGGACCCCCACCCACGGGGATTCCCAGGACCCCCCAAGACATCCGAGTCCCCCACCCACGTGGTGTCCTCCAGGACCCCCACCCACGGGGATTCCTCCGGGACCCCCAAAGACACCCGAGTCCCCACCCTCACCTCGGGACCCTCCCCACCCACGTGGGTCCCTCCTGACCCTCAGGTACCCAGCGACCCCCTCATGTGGTGACCTCCGCTGACCCCCTGGGGACCCCTCCCCACCCACGTGGGTCCCTCCTGAACCCCTCAGGTAGCCTGGGACCCCCACCCACTCTCGTGGGTCCCCTCCTGAACCCCTCAGGTACCTGCGACCCCCACCCACGTGGTGACCTCAGGACCCCCAACCACCCCCTGAGGTCTTTCCCTTCCACGCCCCCCTCCCCAAATTTCCCGGGATGCCCCATCGTGCGCGTGTGTCCCCTCCCTCCCCTCTCCTGCGCGACCCCCACTCACCCGCCGCCCCCATCGGAGGCTGCTCATGGCACGGGGGTCCTGGTGCCACAGGGGGGTTCCTTGGTGGCCACGGGGGCTTCCTTGGTAGCCACGGGGGTTTCTTGGTGGCTACGGGGGTTCCCTTGGTGGCCACGGGGGTTCCTTGGTGGCCACGGGGGTTCCTTTGTGGCCACGGGGGTTCCTGGGTGGCTACGGGGGGTTCCCTGGTAGCCACGGGGTTCTCTGGTGACACGGGGCTTCCTGGTGGCCCTGGGCTGTGGCTGTGCCTGTCACGTCCCCGGCCTCGGTCCCGGTTAATGTTTGATCCGAGGGGCCGCGGGGCCGGAAGGGCTCTTTGGGGAGGTGGGAGGGGGTGGGGGTTGTTGGTTGGGGTTTCCATCCGTCTCCCCACCCCCTCAAACTGTCGAGGAAAGGCAGCGCCGGAGCGCTGCACGTCGGCCCTGGCCCGGGCCACCCACGAGAGGCCACCGGCGCCGGCCAGGCAGGGGGGACACGGGGGTGTGGGACACGGGGGGACACGGGGGTGGGACACACGGGGGTGGGATCACGGGGGGACACGGGATGGAGGGGTGGGAATGGGGGACAGTGGGGGACACGGGGATGGAATGGGGGACACAGGGGACATGAGGATGGGGACACGGGGGGACAGGGGATGTAGGTGTGGGAATGGGGGGACACAGGATGGGAGTGGGGGACACGGGGGGACAGGGGGACACAGGGGGACACGGATGGGGGACACGGGGATGGGGACACGGAGATGGAGGGTGGGAATGGGGGACACGGGGTGGACACGGATAGGGGGACACGGGGATGGAGAGAGGGACTGGGGGACACAAGTGGGGATAGAGTGACAGGGGTGGGGGACACTGGGGATGGGAGTGGGGACACGAGGGGACACGCGGGAAATGGGGATGGAAGAGTGGGAATGGGGGGAACACGAGGGGGACACGGGGATGGGGACACAGGGATGGAGTGGGGGGACACGAGGGGGGACACTGGGGAGATGGGGATGGAAGGGTGGGAATGGGGTGGGAATGGGGGAGGAGGGGGCGCAATGAGGGGACACGGGGGAGGATGGGGGGACATGGGGATGGGGACACAGGGATGGAGGGGTGGGAATGGGGGACAGTGGGGGACACGGGGATGGGGACACTGGAATGGGAATGGGGGACACGAGGGGACACGAGAGGGTCACGGGATGGGGACACGGGGATGGAAGTGGGGACACGAGGGGGACATGGATGGGGGACACGGGGATGGAGGCGGACACGAGGGGGACACGGATGGGGGACACGGGGATGGAAGTGGGGGACACGAGGGGGACATGGATGGGGGGACACGGGGATGGAGGGCGGACACTGAGGGGACACGGATAGGGGGACACGGGGATGGAATGCGGGGACACGGGGATGGTGACACGGGGATGGGGGGACACGGGGATGGGGGGGACACGGGGATGGAGGGGGACACGGGAATGGGGACACGAGGGTGACCCACGGGATGGGGGGCCAATGTCACGGGCACGGCGACGTGGGGGTGGGGGAGGCGACCCCGGGACAGAGGACAGGGATGGGGACACGGGGGTGACAGCGTGGGCACCGGGGGTGGGGTGGGACACGGGGCCAGAGGAGGGGGCGCAGGGCTGGGGACACGGGCACGGGGGACACCTGGATGCAGGTGAGGGGACACGGATGGGGACACGGGGACAAGGATTGGAAGGGCCGCAGTGACACGGGGGGACACCCCACGCGGTCGCGGGACTGCAGTGACACGCGGGGGGACAGTGACACGCGTGGACACGGAGACGGGGCCGCCCCGTGGGACACGCGCGGGGTCGGTGACACGGGCGCAGGGACAGCCCGTGGGAGCGCGGTGACACGCGGGGACAGCGCCAGGCCGGGGGGATCCCGGGATCCCGCGGAAGTGCCGAACAATGGGGACACGTCACTGTCCCCGTCACCGGCCCCCACACAGCGCCAGAGCGGCCCCGGGGGCGGCCCCGGGGACCCCCGGCGTGGGAGGGGACACGGGGGACACGGGGGACACGAGGGGAGGACAGAGGCGACACGCGAGGTGACACGGGGGGCGTGGGGGACACGGGGGACACTGGGGGACACGGGGGGGACAGAGGCGACATCCAAGGGGACACGGGGGATGCGGGGGCCGCGGGAGATGACACGAGGGGGGACACGGGGGAGTGGGGGACACAGGTGACACCTGAGGGGACACGGGGGGACAGAGGTGACATCCAAGGGGACACGGGGATGCGGGGGCCGCGGGAGATGACACGAGGGGGGACACGGGGGAGTGGGGGACACAGGTGACACCCGAGGGGACACGAGGGGACAGAGGTGACATCCAAGGGGACACGGGGGGCGTGGGGCCGCGGGTGACACGGGGGACCCGCGAGGTGACACGGGGGCGTGGGGGGACACGGGGGCGTGGGGACACAGGTGACACCGAGGGGACACGAGGGGGACAGAGGTGACATCCAAGGGGACACGAGGGGGCGTGGGGGACACAGGTGACACGAGTGGGGACGACACGGGAGGGGTGCCAGGTGATACAGGAGGTGACACAGCGGTCACGGTGGGGGACACACGGGGTGACACCTGAGGGGACACAGGGGGACACACACGGGTGACACCCGAGGGGACACGGGGGACACACACGGGTGACACACGAGGGGACACGAGGGGGGACACACGGGTGACACCTGAGGGGACACGGGGGAGGTGACACACGGGTGACACACGAGGGGACACGGGGGAGGGGGGACACACACGGTGACACGGAGGACACAGGTGACACCCGAGGGGACACGAGGGGGGGGGGACACACACGGGTGACACCCGAGGGGACACGAGGGGGGACACACGGGTGACACTGAGGGGACACGAGGGGGACACAGGAGTGACAGAGGCGACATCCGAGGGGACACGAGGGGGGACACACAGGTGACACGGGACGGGGTGGGGGTGACACAGGAGGGGACCCATCGGACTCGGGTGCCACGGGGGGTGCAGGTGACACGGGAGGGGACCCGGGAGGTGACACGGGAGGTGACACGGGAGGGGACCCGGGAGGTGACCCGGGAGGTGACACGGGCCCCCTGCCAGGCCGTACGTGCTGCTCCGCACAGCCCGGCCCCGGCTCCGGCGCCAGCGGGGCCAAAGGGCACCCGTGGGGGGGAGGACACGGCGACAGGGACGTCACCAGAGCCGGCCGGGTCTTCCCCCCCCCTCCCCGGATACCTGCGTGTCACCTGTGTGTCCCCCGCGTGTCCCCTCCCCCCACTCTGAAACGGCCGCGATCGCCCCCAAAAAAGGGGTCAGGATACCTGGGGGGGTTTCCCTGCGTGTCACGTGGGGGGGGTGGCCCTGTGTGTCACCTGGGTCCCCTCTTGTCACCCGGGTCACTCTTTATCCCCTCACCCCACTCTGGAGTGTCCCCAGAGTCCCCCAAATTCCTGGTGTCACCTGAGTCACCCCCCCATTGTCACCTGGACCCTCTTCCTGACCCCCCACAACACCTGAGTCCTTCCTGGCCACCCTCCCCCAACTTTGTCACCTGGCCCCTCTCCCCCAAATCCCCTCCCCACGTTGTCCCCTGGGGGTTTCCTGCCCCAAATGTCACCGATGACGCCGAGGAAGCTCCAACCCCGGCCCCTCCCCCCCAAAACGCCCCCTCCGGAGCCGTCACTGCCATCAACAACTTTATTGGGGTCTCACATCCCCTCCTTCCCCCCCCCAAAAAAAAAGAAGTCCCCGAGGCCACTTTGGTGACATCAAAAAGGTCCTGAGGTCCCGGTGGCTCCTGGCGGCTCGTGGGGTCCCCAAACCCCTCGGTGGCATCTTGGGTGGTCCCCCCAATCTCTTGGTGGCATCTCGGTGGCCCCAAATCCTTTGGTGGCATCTCGGTGGCCCCCCGTGGCTCGCTGGTGGCCCCCGTGGTGGCATCTCGGTGGTCCCCACGTCACGGCAGCGTCCCCAAGGTGGGCGGGGGCTCCTCGGTGGCGTCCCCCGAACCCCTCGGTGGCATCTTGGGTGGTCCCCAAATCCCTTGGGGCATCTTGGGGGTCCCCAAATCCCTTGGGGGGCATCTTGGGAGGTCCCCAAATCCCTTGGGGGGCATCCTGGGTGGCCCCCAAATCCCTTGGGTGGCATCTTGGGGGTCCCCAAATTCCTTGGTGGCATCTTGGGGGTCCCCAAATCCTTTGATGGCACCCTGGGTGACCCCCAAACCCCTTGATGGCATCTTGGGTGACCCCCAAATCCTTTGGTGACCCCCAAATCCCTTGGGGGGCACCCTGGGTGGCCCCCAAATCCCTTGGGTGGCATCCTGGGTGGTCCCCAAACTCCTTTGGTGGCATCTTGGGTGGCCCCCAAATCCCGTGGGGGGCATCTTGGGTGACCCCCGTGGCTCGTTGGGGACCCCTGGGTGACCCCCTGGGTGGCCCCCCAACCCAAGGTGGTCTCGCCCCAAATCTTTGGTTGCCCCCGTGACGGTCGAGGGGAGGAGGGGTCCCAAAGAGGGGGGGTTTGGGGCGGGGGAGGAGGCCAGAACACCCAGGAGCCCCCAAGCCCCTCAAAGACCCCCCAGCTCTTCAGGGACTCCCCCTTGAGTTTTGGGGACCCCCCGAGTTGGGGACCCTTCCCGGGCTTTGAAGACCCTCCAAAATTTGGGTCCCCCAGGCACAGGGGTCTCCCTGCACTTTGGGGACCCCCACCCAGATTTGCCCCCCACCAGGCACAGGGGGTCTCCCTACACTTTGGGGACCCCCTTCCCGATTTGGGCACACCTCCCGGGATTTGGGGACCCCTCCCCAAATTGCCCCCTCCCCATGGCACAGGGGGTCTCCTGCACTTTGGGACCCCCAGATTTGAAGACCCCCGCAAAATTTGGATCCCCCTCACGCACAGGGGTCTCCCTCCACTTCGAGGACCCCCCGAATTTAGGAACCCCCAAATTCGACCACCCCCTCACGCGCAGGGGTCTCCCTACACTTCGAGGACCCCCGATTTTGGGACCCCTCCCACCCCCCAGGCACAGGGGTCTCCCTCCACTTCGAGGACCCTCCCCGAATTTTTGGACCCCCCTCCAAATTCGACCCCCTCAGGCACAGGGGTCTCCCTGCACTGAGTACCCCCAGAGCTGAGGACCCCCAGATTTGAGGACTTCACCCCCCTCAGATTTGGGCCCCCAGGCACAGGGGGTCTCCCTACACTTCGAGTACCCCCAAATTGGGACCCCTCCCCCTCACGCGCAGGGGGCCTCCTGCAGAGCCGGATGTGAATGGCCGAGTTGTGCCTGGGGTCTCCCCATCATCTCCCCCTCCTCTCCCCTCCCCCTCCTCCCCCTTTCTCGGGGGTTTCTCTGCAGGGTCCCTCGGGGGCTTTCTGAGGGGCACGGAGGAGGTGCTGGCGTGGATCCTGAGAGCCCCCCCGGCCCCCGCCTGCAGCTGCAGGGCCAGGTTGATGGTTCGGGGCACGGCCAAGCCCAGCCCGTGCAGCCGCAGCTCCCCGGGGGGGGCTCTGGGGGAGCCCCCGGGACCCCCGACCCCCGTGGGGATCCCCGAGGGTTCCAGGAGGAGCACGAGGAGTTTTTGGCAGCGCCGCAGCTGAGCCCGGAAATCCGAGCGGGACGTCACGAACACCTCGGCGATTTGGGGAGGGGGTCTCGGTGTGGTGGGGGTGGTGGGACCCACCCCCACACCCCGGCGGTGGCGGCGGCGGGAGGAGGAGGAGGAGGAGGAAGAGGAGGGGGGGGCGACCCCCATGAGACCCTCCGGGGTCCGGGGGGTCCGGGAGTCCGAGGACATTCTGGAAAGGGGGTTGAAAAGGGAGGAGTGGGAGGTGAACGACCCCCCAAAATCCTCTCACCCACCCCTCAGGGACCACCCGAACCCCCCAAATCCCGAGACCACCCAGGGGTGTCCTCTGATTCTCCCATAGCCCCCCATCCCGGGACCCCAGAATCCTCCCCCAGGACCACCCAGGGGTGTCCTCTGATTCTCCCACAGCCCCCAAACCCTCAGGGACCACCTGACCCCCCAAATCCCGAGACCACCCAGGGGTGTCCTCTGATTCTCCCACAGCCCCCAAACCCTCCCCCTCAGGGATCACCCAAATCCCCACAGCCCCCCAAGCCCTCCCCCTCAGGGACCACCCGAACCCCCCAAATCCCGAGACCACCCAGGGGTGTCCTCTGATTCTCTCACAGCCCCCCCTCAGGGACCCCAGAATCCTCCCCAGGACCACCCAGGGACCCCCCTTCTTTCAAGACCCTCAGAACCCACCTGGGACCCCCAAGACTCACCGGGACCCCCAATAAGACCCCAGGACCCACGTGGGAACGGCCGGAACGACCCCAGGACCTCCAAACACCCCCCAAGACCCCCCAAAACTCCTCCGAGGGTTCGAAACTCCCCCGAGACCCCTCGTCACCCCTCCCCACGTGACCCCTGAGACCCCCAAAACCCCCCAAAATCCGCCCCTCCCCGGACCTCGCGGGTGCCGCTTCCGCTTCCGAGACGAGGCCACGCCCCCAGAGGGACACGCCCATCAAAGACCACGCCCCTTTCTAAACCACACCTATAATTAAACCATAATTAACCGCTAATTTGCACAACCACGCCCCTAAGTCAAACACCCCCCTTCGCTGTGCGTCCTTTAAGGGGAGGAAGGCCAAGGCAGTTTTTGGGGTGATTTTAGGAGGTTTGAGGGTTTTTACGTCAGAAGGGAGGCCTGCCCTCGCCCCTCCCCCCTCGCCGGCCGGATCCGCCATTTTGGGTCTTTTTTTATAACAAAAGCCCCCAATTCCCCAAATCACCCCCCCTCGGAAAGGGGCGTGGCCTCTTTCGACCCCGCCCATCGTCTGAATGCGGTTTTAATTAAGGCTACGGACCTCGAGAGCCACGCCCCTTTCGGTTGGTGGCGATAAATCTGATTAATTCCATTAATTTGCGCCCTTGAGGCCCTCTCCCTTGACCACGCTGGGCGGCGCCAGAGGCCACGCCCCTCATTTTAATTGACAAGGTGACCCCCAAAGGGAGTGGAGCGACCCCCACCCCAAAAAAAAGCCACGCCCCCTGAATTAAATCCCCCTCTCAACAAAAGGGGCCGCGGTCCCTTTAAGAGCCGGGAAGGGGGGGGGGGGGGAAAAAAGGGGCGGGGTTTCGGCTCAGCCAATCAGCCGCCCGGCCAATCGCGGCGCGCGCCGCACGGCGGGTTCTGATTGGCCGCCGTGAGGCCACGCCCCCCATTAAGCCCCGCCCCCCGTCGCTGTTCGCGGTGCTGATCGAGCCATGAGCGGCGGCGTCTACGGAGGGGGTGAGAAAGGGGCGTGGCCTCGGCGTGGGCGGGGCTTAAATGGGCGTGGTCACTCAGTGGGAGGGGCTAAACGTGAGGGCAGGGTCGTTGGGGGAGGGGGCACAGAGGGGTGTGGCCTGGGTTGAGAGGGCAGGGCGATGTGGGAAAGGGGCGTGGCCTTGTGGGGGTGGGGGTCGTGGGGGGAGGGGTGTCACATTTTGGGGGGGTGTTCGGGGGTGGGATCTGGGAAAGGGGCGGGGTTAGATGGAAGGGGCAGGGCTTGGGAGGAGGGGCGGGTTAGGATGGAAGGACGGGGCTTAGGGGAGGGGGCGGGTCACAGCAGGGGGTGGGGTCTTTATTGGGGTCAGGAAGGGGGTCTTGGGTGGGAGGGGGCTTAAGATGGGCTGATTTGGGGGCGTGGCTTGAGGGTGGGGGCTGAGAAGGGGCGTGGCTCAATTTGGGGGCGGTGCCAAATTCGGGGATGGGAGGGGTCAAGGCAAGGCGGGGCTACAATTTGGGGGAGGGGCGGGGAAATTGGGGGTTGGATCGGGATTTGGGGGGGAAAGGGGTATGGGATGGCCCAGGATTTGGGGGTTTGGCCCAGGATTTGGGGTGATGGGGGGGCAAGGGGGTTCAGGGAGGGTCTGGTGGGGGTTTTGGGGTGTCCCTGTGCCCCCTCAGGTGAGCTGGGGGTCCCTGGGGGTAGTTGAGAGGGGGTGGTTTTTGATTTGGGGGTCTCAACGTCATTTCCCCCAAAGATGAGGTCAGGGCCCTGGTGTTCGACATCGGCTCCTTCTCGGTCCGGGCCGGTTAGCCGGCGAGGATTGTCCCAAGGTGGGGTCGCTGTAGCCCTCCCTCCCCGTGTCCCTTCCCCCTGGTGACACCCCGCGGTGTAACTCCTCCTCCCCCCACATTCCCACCCTGGGTGTGAGGAACAGGGGGTTTAGGGGATTTGGGGGTCGTGGGTGGATTTTACACCGTGGTGTCCCCATGGAACCCTCTCCCTCTTTGTCCCCTCCCCTGGTGACACCCCGTGGTGCCTCCTCCTCTCCCCACCACATTGCTCCCACCCTGGGTGGGGATGAAGGGGGTTTGGAGGATTTTGGGGGATCACAGGTGATTTTCACACCGTGTTGTCTCCCAAGGACCCCTCCCTTGTCCCCTCCCTCCCATTTGTCCCCTCCCCTGGTGACAGTGCCACCCTCCCCACCCCCAGGCCGATTTCCCCACCACGGTGGGGTTGCTGTGCCCCGAGGAGGGGTCCCTGGAGCTCGACGGGGACAAGGACAAGAAGGGGGGGAAGGTTTTTTACATCGACACCAACGCCCTGCACGTGGCCAGGGAGGGGGTCGAGGTCCTGTCCCCCCTCAAGAACGGCATGAGTGAGTGGGGGGGCACTGGGAACACTGGGAGAGACTGGGAGGGCACTGGGAGGGACACAGGAGGGGGTCGAGGTCCTGTCCCCCCTCAAGAACGGCATGAGTGAGTGGGGGGGCACTGGGGACACTGGGAGGGACATTGGGGGGACACTGGGAGGGACACAGGAGGGGGTCGAGGTCCTGTCCCCCCTCAAGAACGGCATGAGTGAGTGGGGGGGCACTGGGAGACACTGGGAGAGACTGGGAGGGCACTGGAGACACCGGGGGGACACTGGAGGGGCACTGGGAGGGCAATGGGGGGGCACTGGGAGAGACTGAGGGGCAATGGGAGGGGGTCGAGGTCCTGTCCCCCCTCAAGAACGGCATGAGTGAGTGGGGGGGCACTGGGGACACTGGGAGGGCACTGGGAGAGACTGGGAGGGCAATGGGGGGCACTGGGAGGGCACTGGGAGAGACTGGGAGGGCACTGGGGACACTGGGGGCACTGGGGGGACACTGGGGGGGCACTGGGAGGGCAATGGAGGGGCACTGGGGAGGGGGTCGAGGTCCTGTGTCCCTCAAGAACGGCATGAGTGAGTGGGGGGGCACTGGGGGAGACTGGGAGAGACTGGGAGAGCACGGGGGGGACACTGGGGATAATGGGGACACTGGGAGGGCACTGGGGACACTGGGAAGGCACTGGGGATACTGGGAGGGCACTGGGAGGGACACTGGGAGAGACTGGGAGGGACACAGGGAGGGGTCGGGTCCTGTCCCCCTCAAGAACGGCATGAGGAGTGGGGGGGCACTGGGGACACTGGGAGAGACTGGGAGGGCAATGGGGGGGGCACTGGGCACACTGGAAGGACACTGGAGGGGACACAGGAGGGGGTCGAGGTCCTGTCCCCCCTCAAGAACGGCATGAGTGAGTGGGGGGGGCACTGGGAGAGACTGGGAGAGACTGGGAGGGCAATGGGGAGGGGGTCGAGGTGCTGTCCCCCCTCAAAAATGGCATGAGTGAGTGGGGGGGTACTGGGAACACTGGGAGAGACTGGGAGGAGCAATGGGGGCAATGGAGGGGCACTGGGGAGGGGGTCGAGGTCCTGTCCCCCCTCAAGAACGGCATGAGTGAGTGGGAGGGCACTGGGAACACTGGGAGGGCACTGGGGGGGCACTGGGGGGGACACTGGGGATAATGGGAGAGACTGGGAGGGACACGGGGAAGGCACTGGGGGGACACTGGGGATAATGGGGAGCACTGGAGGATACTGGGGGGGCACTGGAGACACTGGGAGGGCAATGGGGGGGGCACTGGGAGGGCACTGGGGGACACACTGGGGGACACACTGGGGGGCACTGGGGAGGGGGTCGAGGTCCTGTCCCCCCTCAAGAACGGCATGAGTGAGTGGGGGGGCACTGGGAACACTGGGAGAGACTGGGAGGGCACTGGGAGGGACACAGGAGGGGGTCGAGGTCCTGTCCCCCCTCAAGAACGGCAAGGAGGAGTGGGGGGCACTGGGGACACTGGGAGGGACATTGGGGGACACTGGGAGGGACACAGGAGGGGGTCGAGGTCCTGTCCCCCCTCAAGAACGGCATGAGTGAGTGGGGGGGCACTGGGGGAGACTGGGAGAGACTGGGAGGGCACTGGGGAGGGGGTCGAGGTCCTGTCCCCCCTCAAGAACGGCATGAGTGACTGGGGGGAGGCACTGGGAACACTGGGAGGGCACTGGGAGGGGACTGGGAGGGCAATGGGGACACTGGAGGGCACTGGAGATAATGGGGACACTGGAGGGGCACTGGGGACACTGGGGAGGGTCGAGGTCCTGTCCCCCCTCAAGAACGGCATGAGTGAGTGGGGGGGCACTGGGAACACTGGGGGGACACTGGGGACACTGGGGACACTGGGGACACTGGGGACACTGGGGACACTGGAGGGGCACTGGGGGGACTGGGGACACTGGAGGGGCACTGGAGACACTGGGGGGGCACTGGGGATAATGGGAGGGCACTGGGGACACTGGGGATAATGGAGACACTGGAGAGGCGCTGGGGACACTGAGGGGACACTGGGAATAATGGGGACACTGGGGGGGACACAGGGAGGACACTGGGAGGGCACTGGAGGATACTGGGGGGGCACTGGGGATAATGGGGACACTGGGGGACACTGGGGACACTGAGGGGACATTGGGAAGGCACTGGGGACACAGTGGGGGACACCTCTGGGTGGGGACATCTTGGGAGTGTTGGTGCCACAAACTGGGGGTCACCATGGCGGTGGGGGAGGGTAGGGGTGGGGGTCACCCAGCGGTGTCCCCCCTCTCCCACCCCCTCCCAGTCGAGGACTGGGAGTGTTTCCAGGCCATCCTGGACCACACCTACGGCAAACACGTCAAGTCGGAGCCGGGGCTGCACCCCGTGCTCATGTCCGAGGCCCCGGTAGGTGCCACACCCAGGGGAGGGGGTGTCCCCTGACGACCTCTGACGACCCTCTGATGTCCCCACCCCCTCCCCGGGCAGTGGAACACGAGGGCCAAGCGGGAGAAGCTGACGGAGCTGATGTTCGAGCACTACAACATCCCCGCCTTCTTCCTCTGCAAGACGGCCGTGCTGACGGCGTATCCCTCCCTCTGGGACCCCCCCGGGGTCACCCCCGGGACCCCAGGGTCACCCCCAGACCCCCACGGTCACCCCCGGACTCCCAGGGTCACCCCCAGACTCCCAGGGTCACCTCTGGACCCCCAGGGTCACCCCCAAATCCCCAGGGTCACCCCCAGACCCCCACGGTCACCCCAAAATCCCCATGGTCACCCCAAGACCCCCAGGGTCATCCCCAGACCCTCAGGGTCACCTCCAAACCCTCACGGTCATCCCCGGACCCCCAGGGTCACCCCCAAATCCCCAGGGTCACCCTCAAATCTCCAGGGTCACCCCCGGACCCCCAGAGTCACCCCCGGACCCCCAGGGTCATCCAGGGACCCCAGGGTCACCTCCAAACCCTCACGGTCACCACGGTCATCTCCGGACCCCCAGGGTCACCCCCAGACCCCCAGGGTCATCCCCAAACTCCCATGGTCACCCCCGAGACCCCCAGAGTCACCCCAAAACTCCTAGGATCATCCAGGGACCCCCAGAGTCACCCCCAAACCCCCAGGGTCACCCCCAAACTCCCATGGTCACCCCGAGACCCCCAGGGTCACCCACAGGTCCCCAGGGTCATCCCCGACCCCCAGGGTCATGCAGGGACCCCCAGGGTCACCCCCAAACTCCCAGGGTCACCCCCAGGACCCCCAGGGTCACCCCCCAGACCCCCAGGGTCACCCCCAGACCCCCAGGGTCACCCCCAAACCCCCAGGGTCACCCCCAGACCCCCAGGGTCACCCCCTGAGTCAACCCCATAACCCCAACCCCCACCCCAAAAACACCCTGGAGCAAGAGGAGCCAGGAGAGGCTTCTGAGGTGGGCTTAGGCTCTTTTGGGTGGGTTTCGGGTATTTGGGTGGTTTAGGGGGCTGGGTGGTCTAGGGTTTTGGGTGGGCCTTGGGAGCGCCTGGGGGTGCCTGGGCAGGTCTAGAGCACTTTGGGGCATCTGGGTGACTTAGGGCCTTTGGGTGGGCTTCAAAGCATCTAGGTGGCCTAGGGGAGGTCGAGTGGTCTAGGGCCTTTGGGTGGGCTTAGGGGCCTTGGGTGGGCTTAGGGTCTTTGGGTGGCCTTTAAAGCACCTGGGGGCCTTGGGTAGGCTAGGGCATTAAAGAGCATTCGAGTGGTCTAGGCTGGCTTCAAGTGGGCTCCGGGCACCATGTAGGTACTTAGGTGGTTTAGAGGGGCTCTGGGTGGGTTCTGGAGCATTTAAGGGCACCTAGGTGGTTTAGAGGGGGTTAGGTAGGTTTAGGGGTTTTTTTGGGTGGGTTTCAGGGTATTTGGGGGGGTGTTTGGGTGGGTTTTGGGGTATTTGGGTGGGTGTTTGGGTGGTTTAGGGGACTTTTTGGGTCGTTTAGGGTTTTTTTTGGGAGGGTTTCGGGTTATTTGGGTGGTTTAGGGGGTTTTTTTGGGTGGGTTTCGGGGCATTTGGGGGGGTTTTTGGGAGGGTTTCGGGGCATTTGGGTGGTTTAGGGTTTTTTTTGGGTGGGTTTCGGGTTGTTTGGGGAAGTTACGACCCCTTTACCCCGGAGCAGCTTCGCCAACGGGCGCAGCACGGGGCTGGTGCTCGACTCGGGGGCCACCCACACCACGGCCATCCCTGTGCACGATGGGTACATCCTGCAGCAAGGTGAGGCACACCTGGGGTGGGGGACACACCTGGGACAGGTGAGGGACACCTGGGGCAGGGGGGATCACACCTGGGGGGGTGGGACACACCTGGGACACACCCACACCACGGCCATCCCTGTCCATGATGGGTACATCCTGCAGCAAGGTGAGACACACCTGGGGGGTGGGATACACCTGGGCCAGGTGGGACACACCTGGGACACACCTGGGGGGGTGGGATCACACCTGGGGGGGTGGGACACACCCACACCACGGCCATCCCCGTCCATGATGGGTACATCCTGCAGCAAGGTGAGACACACCTGGGACAGGTGAGGGACACCTGGGGGGTGGGACACACCTGGGGGGGTGGGACACACCTGGGACACACCCACACCACGGCCATCCCCGTGCACGATGGGTACATCCTGCAGCAAGGTGAGACACACCTGGGCCAGGTGAGGGACACACCTGGGACACACCTGGGACTCACCTGAGACAGGGGGGATCACACCTGGGGTGGGGGACACTCCTGGGACACACCTGGGACAGGTGAGGGACACCTGGGGTGGGGGACACACCTGGGACACACCTGGGTGGATGGGACACACCCACACCACGGCCATCCCTGTGCACGATGGGTACATCCTGCAGCAAGGTGAGGCACACCTGGACAGGTGAGGGACACCTGGGGGGGTGGGGGACACACCTGGGACACACCTGGGACACACCTGGGGGGGTGGGGACACACCTGGGGGTGGGACACACCTGGGACACACCTGGGACACACCTGGGACAGGGGGATCACACCTGGGGAGTGGGCACACCTGGGACACACCTGGGACACACCTGGGACTCACCTGGGGCAGGGGACACACCTAGGGGGTGGGGACACACCTGGGGAGAGGGGACACACCTGGGACACACCTGGGACAGGGGGGATCACATCTGGGGAGGGGACACACACCTGGGATATACCTGGGGGGGGTGGGACACACCTGGGTCACACCTGGGACAGGGGACACACCTGGGGGGTGGGGGACACACCTGGGCCACACCTGGGCCACACCTGAGACAGGGGGATCACACCTGGGGGGTGGGACACACCTGGGCCACACCTGGTCCAGGTGAGCCGTGGGTGGTCCCAGACCCCCCCTCTTTTCTCCCCCCCAGGTATCGTGAAGTCTCCCCTGGCCGGGGATTTCATCTCCATGCAGTGCCGGGAGCTCTTCCAGGAGCTCAACATCGACATCGTCCCCCCCTACATGATCGCCGCCAAGGTGGGCGTGGCCAAAAGGGGCGTTGCCGTGGTGGGTGTGGCCGGGGGTGTGGCCAAGAAGGGCGTGGCCCGGTGGGCGTGGTAAAAAAGGGCGTGGTCAAGAAGGGCGTGGCCCTGGGGGTGTGGTCAAGAAGGGTGTGGCCCTGGGGGTGTGACCAAGGAGGGCGTGGCCCGGTGGGCATGGCCAGGATGGGCATGGTCAAAAAAGGGCATGGTCAAGAAGGGCGTGGCCCATGGGGGGTGTGGCCAAGAAGGGCGTGGCCCGGTGGGTGTGGTCAAGAAGGGCGTGGTCAAAAAGGGCATGGTCCGGATGGGCGTGGTCAAAAAGGACGGGGTCAATAAGGGCGTGACCCTGGGGGTGTGGCCAAAAAGGGCGTGACCCGGTGGGCATGGCCAGGGTTGGCGTGGCCAAGAAGGGCGTGGCCCGGTGGGCGTGGCCATGGTGGGCGTGGTCAAAAAAGGGCGTGGTCAGATGGGCGTGGTCAAAAAGGAGGTGGTCAATAAGGGTGTGGCACTGGGGGTGTGGCCAAGAAGGGCGTGGCCCGGTGGGCGTGGCCAAGAAGGGTGTGGCCCGGTGGGCGTGGCCAGGCTGGGCGTGGTCAAAAAGGGGCGTGGTCAATAAGGGCGTGGCCCTGGGGGTGTGGCCAAGAAGGGCGTGTCCGATGGGCGTGGCCAGGCTAGGCGTGGCCCAGGGGGTGTGGCCCTGGGGGTGTGGCCAAAAAAGGGTGTGGCCTGGTGGGTGTGGCCAGGATGGGGCGTGGCCTGTGGACCACACCCCTGTTCTCAAATTGGGTAAAAAAAGAGCCAGAATTGGGGCTCTGCCACCCCTCTCTAATTAAGGGGGTGTTAATGAGGGTCACGCTAATGAGGTGTGTAATGATGGGGGGTATGCTAATGAGGGGGACACGCCCCCCCTGACCAAGGGTTTGGGGGTTCCCAGTGGGGTTTTTGGGGTTCCCAGTGGAGTTTTGGGGTTCCCAGTGGGGTTTGGGGGTTCCCAGTGGGGTTTTGAGGTTCCCAGTGGGGTTTTTGGGGTTCCCAGAGGGGGTTTGGGGGTTCCCAGTGGGGTTTTGGGGGTTCCCAGTGGGGTTTTGGAGTCCCAACAGGTCTGGGGGTTCCCAGAGGGGTTTTTGGGGTTCCCAGTGGGGTTTTGGGGTCCCAACAGGTCTGGGGGTTCCCAGAGGGGGTTTTGGGGTTCCCAGTGGGGTTTTGGGGTCCCAACAGGTCTGGGGGTTCCCAGAGGGGGTTTTGGGGTTCCCAATGGGGTTTTGGGGTCCCAACAGGTCTGGGGGTTCCCAGAGGGGGTTTTGGGGTTCCCAGTGGATTTTTGGAGTTCCCAGAGGGGGTTTTGGGGTTCCCAGTGGGGTTTTTGGGGTTCCCAGAGGGGGTTTTGGGGTTCCCAGTGGGGTTTTTGGGGTTCCCAGAGGGGGTTTTGGAGTCCCAACAGGTCTGGGGGTTCCCAGGGGAGGTTTTGGGGTTCCCAGAAGGGTTTTGGGGTTCCCAGAAGGGTTTTGGGGTTCCCAGTGGGGTTTTGGAGTCCCAACAGCTCTGGGGGTTCCCAGAGGGGGTTTTTGGGGTTCCCAGTGGGGGTTTTGGGGTCCCAACAGGTCTGGGGGTTCCCAGAGGAGGTTTTGGGGTTCCCAGTGGGGTTTTTGGAGTCCCAACAGGTCTGGGGGTTCCCAGAGGGGGTTTTGGGGTTCCCAGTGGGGTTTTTGGAGTCCCAACAGGTCCGGGAGTTCACAGGAGGGGGGTTTTGGGGTTCCCCGGGGAGGTTTTGGGGTCCCAACAGGTCTGGGGATTCCCAGGGGAGGTTTTGGGGTTCCCAGTGGGGTTTTGGGGTCCCAACAGGTCTGGGGGTTCCCAGAGGGGGTTTTTGGGGTTCCCAGTGGGGTTTTTGGGGTCCCAACAGGTCTGGGGGTTCCCAGGGGAGGTTTTGGGGTTCCCAGTGGGGTTTTTGGGGTTCCCAGTGGGGTTTTGGGGTTCCCAGTGGGGTTTGGGGGTTCACAGAGGGAGTTTTGGGGTTCCCAGTGGGGTTTTTGGGGTCCCAACAGGTCTGGGAGTTCCCAGTGGGGTTTTGGGGTTCCCAGTGGGGTTTTGGAGTCCCAACAGGTCTGGGGGTTCCCAGAGGGGGTTTTGGGGTTCCCAGTGGGGTTTGGGGGTTCCCAGTGGGGTTTTGGGGTTCCCAGTGCGGTTTGGGGGTTCCCAGTGGGGTTTTGGGTGTTCCCAGTGGAGTTTTGGGGTCCCAACAGGTCTGGGGGTTCCCAGAGGGGTTTTTGGGGTTCCCAGAGGGGGTTTTGGGGTCCCAACAGGTCTGGGGGTTCCCAGTGGGGTTTTAGGGTTCCCAGAGGGGTTTTGGGGTCCCAACAGGTCTGGGGTTCCCAGTGGGGTTTGGGGTTCCCAATGGATTTTTGGGGTTCCCAGAGGGGGTTTTGGGGTTCCCAGTGGGGTTTGGGGGTCCCAACAGGTCTGGGGGTTCCCAGAGGGGGTTTTTGGGGTTTCCAGTGGGGTTTTTGGGGTTCCCAGAGGGGTTTTGGAGGTTCCCAGAGGGGGTTTTGGGGTTCCCAGTAGGGTTTTGGAGTCCCAACAGGTCTGGGGGTTCCCAGAGGGGGTTTTGGAGGTTCCCAGTGGAGTTTTGGGGTTCCCAGTAGGGTTTTGGAGTCCCAACAGGTCTGGGGGTTCCCAGAGGGGGTTTTTGGGGTTCCCAGTGGAGTTTTGGGGTTCGGGGGTTCCCAGTGGGGTTTTGGGGTCCCAACAGGTTTGGGGGTTCCCAGTGGGGTTTTTGGGGTTCCCAGTGGGGTTTTTGGGGTTCCCAGTGGGGTTTTGGAGTCCCAACAGGTCTGGGGGTTCCCAGGGGAGGTTTTGGGGTTCCCAGGGGAGGTTTTGGGGTTCCTAGGGTCCCCACTCTTACCCCTTCCCCAAAATCAGGAGCCGGTTCGCGAAGGGGCCCCGAGCTGAAGAAGAAGGAGAAGCTGCCCCAGGTGTCCAAATCCTGGCACAACTTCACCTGCAACGTGAGTTTGGGGGAAAAGGGGGAATTTTGGGGGTAGGGGGTGTAAATTGGGGGTCCCTTACCTATTTTTTTGGGGGGGTCTTCCCAAAAAAAGGAGGTGATCCAGGACTTCCAGGCCTCAGTGCTGCAGGTGTCGGACTCGCCCTACGACGAGCAGTGAGTGAGAGGAGGGGGCAAGGGGGCGTTTTTGGGGGTCCTGGGTGTGAATTTAGGGCTGGGGAGACCCAAAACCACCTCAACCCCTTTTGCCCCCTCCCCACCCCAGGGTGGCTGCCCAGATGCCCACGGTCCACTACGAGATGCCCAACGGGTACAACACCGACTACGGGGCCGAGCGGCTCCGCATCCCCGAGGGGCTCTTCGACCCCTCCAACGTCAAGGTTTGGGGGTCTTGGGGGTCCCAGAGGGGTTTGGGGGTCCTGGAGGGGTTTGAGGGGGTCTAGGGTGGGGTTCCCAGGTGAAGGTTTTGGGGTTCCCAGTGGGGTTTGGGGGTCCCAAAGGGGTTTGGGGTTCTCAGGGGGTTTAGGGGTCCCAGAAGGGTTTTGGGGGGTCCTGGAGGGGTTTGGGGGTCCCTGGAGGGGTTTGGGGGTTCCCAGTGGGGTTTGGGGTTCCCAGGGGGTTTTGGGGTCCCAACAGGTCTGGGAGTTCCCAGAGGGGGTTTTGGGGTTCCCAGTGGAGTTTTGGGGTTCCCAGTGGGGTTTTGGGGTCCCAACAGGTCTGGGGGTTCCCAGAGGGGGTTTTGGGGTTCCCAGTGGAGTTTTGGGGTCCCAACAGGTCTGGAGGTTCACAGAGGGGGATTTTGGGGTTCCCAGTGGGGTTTTGGGGGTCCCAAAGGGTTTGGGGGTTCACAGAGAGGGGTTTGGGGGTTCCTGGAGGGTTTTGGGGGGTCCCAATGGGGTTTTGGGGTCCCAAAGGGTTTGGGGGTTCCCAGAGGGGTTTTGGGGTTCCCAGAGGGGGTTTTGGGGTCCCAACAGGTCTGGGAGTTCCCAGGAGTTTTGGGGTTCCCAGAGGGGGTTTTGGGGTTCCCAGTGGGGTTTTGGGGTCCCAGAGGGTTTTGGGGATCCCAACAGGTCTGGGGGTTCCCAGTGGAGTTTTGGGGTCTCAACAGGTCTGGGGGTTCCCAGAGGGGGTTTTAGGGGTTCCCAGTGGCGTTTAGGGGTCCCAGAAGGGTTTTGGGGGCCCAAGGGGTTTGGGGGTTCACAGGAGGGGTTTTGGGGGTCTTTAGGTCTGAAGGGTTGCCAGGGCTCCCCAGGTGGGTTTTGGGGGTCCCAAAGGGGTTTGGGGGTCCCAAAGGGGTTTGGGGGTTCCCAGATGGGGTTTTGGGGTCCCAACAGGTCTGGGGGTTCCCAGAGGGGGTTTTTGGGGTTCCCAGAGGGGTTTTTGGGGTCCCAACAAGTCTGGGGGTTCCCAGCGGGGTTTTTGGGGTTCCCAGTGGGGTTTTGGGGTCCCAACAGGTCTAGGGGGTTCCCAGAGGGGTTTTGGGGGTTCCCAACAGAGTCTGGGGGTTCCCAGAGGGGTTTTGGGGTTCCCAGTGGGGTTTTGGGGTCCCAACAGGTCTGGGGGTTCCAAGAGGGGGTTTTGGGGGTTCCCAGAGGGGGTTTTGGGGTTCCAATGGGGTTTTGGGGTCCCAAGGGTTTAGGGCGTTCACAGGAAGGGTTTTAGGGGGTCCCAGAAGGGTTTGGGGGGGGTCCCAAAGGGTTTGAGGGTTCCCAGAGGGGTTTTGGGGTTCCCAGTGGGGTTTTGGGGTCCCAGAGGAGTTTTGGGGTTCCCAACAGGTCTGGGGGTTCCCAGGGGGTTTGGGGGTCCCAGAAGGGTTTTGGGGGTCCCAAAGGGGTTTGGGGTTCCCAGAGGGGGTTTTAGGGGGTTCCCAGAGGGGGTTTGGGGGGTCCCAAGGGGTTTGGGGGTTCCCAGTGGGGTTTTGGGGTCCCAAGAGGTCTGGGGGTTCTCAGGAGGGGTTTTTGGGGTTCCCAGTGGAGTTTTGGGGTCTCCAAGGGGTTTGAGGGTTCCCAGAGGGGGTTTAGGGGGTCCCAGAAGGGGTTTTGGGGGGTCCCAAAGGGGTTTGGGGGTTCCCAATGGGGTTTGGGGGTCCCAACAGGTCTGCAAGTTCCAGGGAGGTTTGGAGGTTCCCAGGAGGGTTTTGGGGTCCTCGAGAGGGGTTTGGGGGTCCCAGAAGGGTTTGGGGAGTCCCAAAGGGGTTTGGGGGTCCCAAAGGGTTTGGGGTTCCCAGAGGGGTTTGGGGGTCCCTGGAGGTTTGGGGTTCCCAGAAGGGGTTTGGGGGAGGGCCCAAAGGGGTTTGGGGTTTCACAGGAGGGGGTTTTTGGGGTTCCCCTGGTGGGTTTTGGGGTCCCAGAAGGGTTTTGGGGTCCCAATGGGGTTTGAGGGTTCCCAGAAGGGGTTTTGGGGGTTCCCAGAGGGTGTTTTAGGGGTCCCAGTGGGGTTTTGGGGGTCCCAGAAGGGTTTTGGGGGCCCAACAGGTCTGGGGGTTCACAGGGGGGGTTTTGGGGTTCCCAGTGGAGTTTTGGGGTCCCAAAGGCTTTGTGGGTTCACAGGAGGGGGTTTTGGGGTTCCCAGAGGGGTTTGGGGTTCCAGGAGTTTCGGGGTCCCAACAGGTCTGGGGGTTCCCAGAGGGGGTTTTGGGGTTCCCAGGGGAGGTTTTGGGGGTTCCAACAGCTCTGGGGGTTCCCAGAGGGGGGTGTCCTGTATATTTTGGGGTCCCCCCTGACCCCCTAACCTCCCTCCTTTGCCCCCAGGGCCTCTCTGGGAACACCATGCTGGGCGTGGGGCACGTGGTGACCACGAGCATCGGGATGTGCGACATCGACATCCGCCCCGGTGGGTCTGGGGGGATCTGGGGATCTGGGGGTCTGGGGGTCTGGGGGTTTGGGGGGGTCTGGGATGGGGGAGGGCAGCAAGGACACCCCAAAACCCTGCTGTGTCCCCAAATCCCCAGGGCCTGTATGGCAGCGCTCATCGTCACCGGGGAACACCCTGCTCCAGGGGTTCACCGACCGCCAACCGCGAGCTGGCCTCAGAAGACCCCCTGTGAGGGACCCCCCGATTTGGGGAGGGGCTAGAGGGGCTGGGGTTGGAGGGGGTGGAGGGGACCCAAAACCCCCCTGGGAGAGACCCCCGAATTTGGGGAGGGGTTAGAGGGGCTAGGGAGGGTGGAGGGGACCCCAAAAGCCCCTGGGAGGGATCCCAAACCCGTGGGGGACCGGAGTTAAGGAGGGGCTGGGGGCTGGGAGCGGAGGGGAAGACCCTAAGACCCCTAGGGAGGGGACCCCAAAGCTCTGGAGGGACCCTGAATTTGGGGAGGGATGGAGGAGTGGAGGGTGGAGGGGACCCCAAATCCCTTCATGAGGGACCCCGATTTGGGAGGGGTTGACGGGGCTGGGGCTGGGAGGGTGGAGGGGACCCCAGAATTCTGAGGGACCCCCCGGATTTGGGGAGGGTGGAGGGGTGAGAGACCCCAAACCCCCTGGGAGGGACCCCCAACTTGGGAGGGCTGAGAGGATCCTAAACTTCCTGGGAGGGACCCCGATTTGGGAGGGGTTGAGGAGGTGGAGGGAACCCATGAGGGACCCTGATTTGGGGAGGAGCTGGGGTGGAGGGACCCCAAACTCTCTGGAGGACCCTGAATTTGGGAGGGCTTGGGGTGGAGGGGACCCTAAACCCCTGGGAGGGACCCCGATTTGGGGAGGGATGGGGTGGAGAGGACCCCAAAACCCTGGGAGGGGACCCCAAACTCCCCTGGGAGGGGGACCCCAAACCCCCCATGAGGGACCCCTGGATTTGGGGAGGGGTTGGGGGTGGAGGGGTGGAGGAGACCCCAAAATTCCTGGGAGGGACCCCCGATTTGGGGAGGGGCTGGGGGTTGGGGGTGGAGAGACCCCAAAATTCCCCGGGAGGGACCCCCAAATTTGGGGGAGGGGCTGGGGTGGAGGGACCCCAAACCCCTGGGAGGGACCCCAAAGGGTTTAGTAGTTGTGTCTCCCCAATTGTGGTTCCCAACTGCCCCCAGTGGTTCCCACTCCCTCCCAGTGGTTCCCAGTTGCCTCCCAGTAGCTCCCAGTCGTTCATAATTGCCCCCCTGAGAGATTCCCAGCTCCCCCTAGTCAGGTCCCCAGTGACTCCCAGTTGCCCCAGGTGACTCCCAGTCCCCCCAGTTGGGTCCCCAGAGATTCCCAGTTGCCCCAGTAACTCCCAGTCCCCCCCAGTCAGGTCCCCAGTGACTCCCAGTTGCCTCAAGTGACTCCCAGTTGGTCCCCAGTGACTCCCAGTTACCCCCAGTGACATCCCCAGAGGCTCCCAGTCCCCCCCAGTTGGGTTCCCAGAGACTCCCAGTTGCCCCCAGTCAGGTCCCCAGAGACTCCCAGTTGCCCCCAGTTACTCCCAGTTGGGTCCCCAGAGACTCCCAGTTGCCCCCAGTTACTCCCAGTTGGGTCCCCAGTGACGTCCCCAGAGGCTCCCAGTGACTCCCAGTCCCCCCCAGTCGGGTCCCCAGAAGCTCCCAGTTGCCCCAAGTGGCTCCCAGTCCCCCTCAGTCGGGTCCCCAGTGACTCCCAGTTGCCCCCAGTGACTCCCAGTTCGGTCCCCAGAGACTCCCAGTTGCCCCCAGTGACGTCCCCAGAGGCTCCCAGTGACTCCCAGTCCCCCCCAGTCGGGTCCCCAGTGACTCCCAGTTGCCCCCAGTGACTCCCAGTTGTGTCCCCAGAAGCTCCCAGTTGCCCCAGTGACTCCCAGTCCCCTCCAGTTGGGTCCCCAGTGACTCCCAGTTGCCCCAAGTGACTCCCAGTTGGTCCCCAATGACTCCCAGTTGCCTCAAGTGACTCCCAGTTGGTCCCCAGTGACTCCCAGTTGCCCCCAGTTTGTTCCCCAGAAGCTCCCAGTGACTCCCAGCGGTTCCCAGCTGCCCTCAGTCATTCCCAGTTGCCCCCAGTGACTCCCAGTGCCCTCCCAGTGCCCCCAGTACCCCCCCCCTCCCCAGAGCATGCGGCTCAAGCTGATCGCCAGCAACTCCACGATGGAGCGGCGCTTCAGCCCCTGGATCGGGGGCTCCATCCTGGCCTCGCTCGTGAGTCTGGGGGGGGATTTGGAGGGGGATCCCCCCCAAAAAAACACCCCCTAAAAAAAAAAAACCAAAAACCCCCCAAAAAATCCCCAAAAAAAAACCCCCCCTGTGTCCCCAGGGCACCTTCCAGCAGATGTGGATCTCCAAGCAGGAGTACGAGGAGGGAGGGAAGCAGTGCGTGGAGAGGAAGTGTCCTTGAGGAGGAGAAAAGAGGGGAAAATGGGGAAAAAAATGAATAAAAATTAATGAAACCCACCCCCTCAAAAAACAAAAGAAAAACAAAAAAACAAAAACCAACAAAAAACGAGTTCAAAGTTAACCCAAAATCCACCTGAAAGCAGCGCATGGAGAGGAAGGGTCCTTGAGGAGAGGGGGAAAAAAGAGGGGGAAATGGGGAAAAAAATGAATAAAAATTAATTAAATCCACCCCCCAAAAAAACCAAAAAAACCACCCAAAACGAGTTCAAAGTTAACCCAAAATCCACCTGAAAGCAGCGCGTGGAGAGGAAGTGTCCTTGAGGGGGGAGAAAAAAAAGGAGGGGAAAAAATGAATAAAAATTAATTAAATCTACCCCCTCCCAAAAAAAAAAGAAAAAAAAACCCATAAAAAACAAAAAAACGAGTTCAAAGTTAACCCAAAATCCACCTGAAAGCAGCGCGTGGAGAGGAAGGGTCCCTGAGGAGGGGGGGAAAAAAGAGGGGGAAATGGGGAAAAAAATGAATAAAAATTAATGAAATCCACCCCCAAAAACCCCAAAAAACAACAAAAAAACCAAACCAAACCAAACCAAACAAAAAAACCCCAAAACCAGTTCAAAGTTAACCCAAAATCCACCTGAAAGCAGCGCGTGGAGAGGAAGGGTCCCTGAGGGGGGAGAGAAAAAAAAAGAGGGGAAAATGGGGAAAAATGAATAAAAATTAATTAAATCCACCCCCTCCCAAAAAAAAAAGAAAAAAAAACCCATAAAAAACAAAAAAACAGTTCAAAGTTAACCCAAAATCCACCTGAAAGCAGCGCGTGGAGAGGAAGTGTCCCTGAGGAGGGGAGGGAAAAAAGAGGGGGAAATGGGGAAAAAATGAATAAAAATTAATTAAATCTACCCCCTCCAAAAAAAAAACCCAAAAAAACCAAAATCTACAAAAAAAAAAATCCCAAAAAAACAGATCAAACAAACAAACAAACAAAAAACCCAAAAAACCCCCCCAAAAAACCCCAAAAAACAAAAAATTCAGTTCAAAGTTAACCCAAAATCCACCTGAAAGCAGCGCGTGGAGAGGAAGTGTCCCTGAGGGGAAAAGGGAGGGAACAAGTGAGAAAAATGGATAAAAGTCACCGAAATCCACTCAATTCACACAAATAACCCCCAAAATTTGCACCCCCCCCTCAAACTCCACACGAAAAAAAGCGGTGCGTGGAGGGTTTTAAAAGAAAAACCTGAGGGGAGAAATGGGGGAAGAAGCGATAAAAAACAGAAATTCGTCAAAAAAACCCACCCAAACCCTCAAAATCGACAGAAAAAAACAAAAAAAAGGCAAAAAAACCCAACCCTGAGAGTCGCCCAATCCGCACCTTAAAATGGAGCCAGAAGCAGCTCCCAGGTGGCTGGGAGAGCGTGGGGAGTTCCGACGAGAGAGTTTGAGGTGGTTTTTTTTTTATTTTTAACCGATTTCGGGGAGTTTTACCTCAAAACTGGGGGGGTCACGTGACCACCGATTGGGCGCGAAAACCGAGGCGGGAAAAAAGAAGGGGGGGTCACGTGACCCTTCCCCCCTATGAGAGGATGGGGGAAAATGGCGGGAAAGGGCAGCGCGAGATCCCGCGCGGCTCTCGCGAGATTTTTTGCGATCGCCCCCTGGCGGCCGCGGCGCGAACCGCGCGCCGTTCTCGCCGTTACCGGGAGGGGAACGAGCGGCCCGGTTCGGTGACGTCACTGCCCGGGCGGTGACGTCACCGCGCGGCCCAGAGACACGGAGGAAACGCCGGCGCTTTAATCGAGTCGCTGGGGGGAAGTTGAGAAGGCGGTCAGGCTCCCGGCGGCCGCCGCCGCGGACTTCAACTCCCGGCACCCTCCGCGCTCGCCGCGAGGCCCTCTCGCCTCCCTGCGCGCCGCCTCCGCGCCGCTTTCCCCTCCCTCCCCTTTCCCGTGCACCCCAAACCCCCTCACCGCCTCTCCCCCCTCTCCCTCCTTTCCTCCGGTGCCGCCGCCATCGCCCCCCCCCCCTTCCTTCCCGCCGCCTCACGCGTGTTTCGATCAGGCGCTCTGCGCGGCCACCCCCATCCCATCAGGCCCCCTCTTCTCCACGCCCCACCCCCTCCTCCTATTGGCCGCCGCTCGCGAGCCCTCCCTCCCCATTGGCCGCGCCGCCTCGCCCCTCCCCTTTTTCGGGGGCGTGTCCCCCGCGAGGCCCCGCCCCCGACGCTATATAACGGCGGCGGGGCCGGCGCGGCGCGTCCATCGCGGGTTCGGCGGCGCCGCGAGCGGAACCTCCGCGGGGGGCTCCTCCCTTTCCCCCCCTTCCCGGCGCATGCGCGGGGGCGGCGCGGCGCGGCGCGCAGGCGCGGGCCGGGCCGCCATCATGGCGGCGGCGGCGGCGCCGCCCGAGGCCTTCCTGGTGCCGCCTCCGCCGCCTCCGCCGCCCCCCGCGGGCCCTCAGAGACCCCCCGAGACCCCCCGGCCCCGCAACGGGCTCCGCGCTACCGGCGGCGGCGGAGGCGGCGGCAAGCGGCGCGGCAGCTGCGGCGCCAAGCAGCCGGCGTGGAAGCGTCGCCGCCGCGCGGCCTCGGAGTGCGGGCCGGTGCTGCCGTCGGAGTTCCTGCTCGGCGGGAACATCTTCGACCCCCTGAACCTCAACAGCCTCCTGGACGAGGAGGTGAGCCGGGCGCTGAACGCGCGCACGCCGCAGTCGTCGCCGCTGCCGGCGCGGGGCAGGGACCCCGTGGAGATTTTGGTGCCCAGGGACATCACGGACCCGCTGAGCCTCAACGCGCCGGGCGACGACGGGCCCGAGGTGCGGCTGGCGAGCCCCGCCAAGAGCGGCCGCAGGAGGCACCGGCACCGCGGGCAGCAGCGGGCCAACAGCGCCAGGAATAATAACAATAGTAACACCGGGAATAACAACAATAGCACCGGGAATAATAACGGGAATAACGCCGGGAATAGCGGCGGCCCCGAGGAGCCGCCCCCCCCCGAGCCCGGCCCCACCGGCCGCCACCGCAAGCGCCGACGGACTTGCAGCAAATCCGAGGGGCCTCGCCCGCCTCCCCCTACCCCTCAAAACCACGAGAAGCCCCCTTCACCACCACCACCACCAACAACACCCCAACAACAACACCAGGAGAAAACCCCGCAGGAAAAAGCGGGGAAAGCGACCCCGGGCAAAGCCCCGCGTCGCCAGGAGCGCAAATTCCAGTACGGGAACTACTGCAAATATTACGGGTACCGCAACCCCGACGTGGAGGACCCGCGGCTGCGGGCGCTGCGGCCCGAGTGGTTCGCGGGCAAGGAGGTGCTGGACGTGGGGTGCAACGTGGGCCACTTGACCCTGAGCATCGCCAAGCGCTGGGGGCCCCGCAGGGTCGTGGGGATGGACATCGACGGGCGGCTCGTGCGCTCGGCGCGCCAGAACATCCGCCACTACCTGTCCGAGGGGCTGGGGGAAGGGAGGGAGGGGCAGAGGAGAGGATTCCCCGCCGCCCTCTCGGCCAGCCGAGGTCCCATCGCGGCCCCGCAGCTGCCCCCCGGAAGGGCCCGAGGCCGCCGAGTTCCCGCACAACGTGGTGTTTGTTACGGTGAGTGGGTTTTTGGGGGGGGAAAAAGGGGTTTTGGGGGGTTTTTTGGGGGGGTTTGGATCACCCCAAACGTTGCTCGGGGTGAATTCGGAACTCTGGTTTGGAGCGGTGAGGAGTTGGTTGTGTCCCAGTAACCCCCCAGTGACTCCCAGAGTCCCCCCAGTGACTCCCAGTGACCCCCCAATGACTCCCAGTGTCCCCCCAGTGACTCCCAGTGTCCCCCCAGTGACTCCCAGTGCCTCCCCCCCAGGGTAACTACGTGCTGGAGCGGGAGGAGCTGCTTCTCCCAGTGCCCCCAGTGACTCCCAGTGCCCCCAGTTCTCTCCCAGTGCCCCCAGTGATTCCCAGTCCCTCAGGGGGTTCCTGGTGCCTCCCCACCCCTGAGAGCCCCCAGCCCCCTGAGAGCCCCCGTGTCCCCCAGGGTAACTCCATAACTCCAGCTGGGTCTCCCAGTAACCCAATGACTCCCAGTGCCCCCAGTTCTCTCCCCAGTGCCCCCAGTGACTCCCAGTGCCCCCAGTTCTCTCCCAGTGACTCCCAGTCCCTCAGGGGATGTCCTGATGCCCCCCAGCCCCCTGAGAGCCCCCAGGGTAACTCCACTAACTCCAGCTGGTTCCTGCCCAGTGCCCCCAGTTCTGCTCCCAGTGACTCCCAGTGCCCCCAATGACTCCCAGTGCCCCCAGTTCCCTCCCAGTGCCCCCAGTGACTCCCAGTGCCTCCGGTGGGTCCCTGAGTGCCCCCATCCCCTGGCGACAGCCCCCTGAGAGCCCCCACCGTGTCCCCCAGGGCACCCCAGTAACCCCAGCTGGTTCTCCCAGTGTCCCCAGCATTCTCCCAGTGACCCCCAATAAGTCCCAGTGCCCCCAGTCCTCTCCCAGTGACCTCCCAGTGCCCCCAGTTCTCTCCCAGTGACTCCCAGTGCCCCCAGTACTCTCCCAGTGACTCCCAGTGACTCCCAGTGCCCCCAGTTCTCTCCCAGTGACTCCCAGTCCCTCAGGGTGCTCCTAGTGCCTCCCAGTGCCCCCGTGACTAGCCCACCGAGAGCCCCCAGTGTCCCCAGGGTAACTCCATAACTCCAGTTGGTTCTCTCCCAGTGCCCCCAGTTCTCTCCCAGTGCTCCCAGTTCTCTCCCAGTGCCCCCAGTGACTCCCCAGTCCCTCAGGTGGGGCTCCTGGTGCCCCCCATCCTCTGATAGCCCCCTGAGAGCCCCCTAGGGTAACTCCATAACTCCAGTTGGTTCTCTCCCAGTGCCCCCAGTTCTCTCCCAGTGACTCCCAGTGACTCCCAGTGCCCCCAGTTCTCTCCCAGTGCTCTCCCAGTGACTCCCAGTGCTCTCCCAGTGACTCCCAGTGCCCCCCCAGTGACTCCCAGTGCCCCCAGTTCTCTCCCAGTGCCCCCAGTTCTCTCCTAGTGCTCTCCCAGTGACTCCCAGTGCCCCCAGTTCTCTCCCAGTGACTCCCAGTGACCCCAGTTCTCTCCCAGTGCCCCCAGTGACTCCCAGTGCCCCGAGTGCTCTCCCAGTGCCCCCAGTGACTCCCAGTGCCCCCAGTTCTCCTCCCCAGTGCCCCCCAGTGACTCCCAGTGCTCCCCAGTTCTCTCCCAGTGCCCCCCCAATGACTCCCAGTGCCTCCCAGTGCCCCCAGTTCTCTCCCAGTGCTCCCCCAGTGACTCCCAGTGCCCCCCCCCAGGGTAACTACGTGCTGGATCGGGAGGAGCTGGTGCAGGCTCAGCGCCCCCAGTTCTCTCCCAGTGCCCCCAGTTCTCTCCCAGTGCCCCCAGTTCTCTCCCAGTGCCTCCCAGTGCCCCCAGTTCTCTCCCAGTGCCCCCAGTTCTCTCCCAGTGCCCCCAGTTCTCTCCCAGTCCCCCCCCAGTGACTCCCAGTGCTCCCCAGTGACTCCAGTGCCCCCAGTGCCCCCCAGTGACTCCCAGTGCCCCCATTTCTGTCCCAGTGACTCCCAGTGCCCCCCAGTGACTCCCAGTGCCCCCAGTTCTCTCCCAGTGACTCCCAGTGCCCCCCCCAGGGTAACTACGTGCTGGAGCGGGAGGAGCTGGTGCAGGCTCAGCGCCCAGAGTTCTCTCCCAGTGACTCCCAGTGCCCCCAGTTCTCTCCCAGTGACTCCCAGTGCCCCCAGTTCTCTCCCAGTGCCCCCCCAGTGACTCCCAGTGCCCCCCCAGTGACTCCCAGTGCCCCCCCCAGGGTAACTACGTGCTGGATCGGGAGGAGCTGGTGCAGGCTCAGCGCCCCAGTGCTCTCCCAATGACTCCCAGTTCTCTCCCAGTGACTCCCAGTGCCCCCCCAGTTCTCTCCCAGTGCACTCCCAGTGCCCCCCCAGTGACTCCCAGTGCCCCCAGGGTAACTACGTGCTGGAGCGGGAGGAGCTGGTGCAGGCTCAGCGCCCAGAGTTCGATGTGCTGCTGCTGCTGTCGCTCACCAAGTGGGTTCAGCTCAACTGGGGGGACGAGGGGCTCAAGAGGCTCTTCCGGAGGGCGTTCCGGCACCTGCGCCCGGGCCCTCCTGCTCGAGCTCCCAGCCCTGGGGTCCTACCGAAAGCGCAAGGGGCCTACCGTGAGTCTGGGGAGGGGGTCTGGGGGTGGGGAGGGGGCTTGGGGGGTTTAAAGGGTGGGGAGGGGGTTTTGGGGGGGCTGAGAGGGTTCAAAGAGGGATTTGGGGGGTTAGAGGGTGAGAGGGGTTTGGGGGTCACAGGGGGCTTGGGGGTTTATGGAGGGATTTGAGGGGTTAAAGGGTGGGGAGGGCTTGGGGGTCACAGGGGGTTTGGGGGATTTGGGGGTTTGGGGGTTAAAGGGTGGGGAGGGGGTTTGGGGGCTCACCGTGAGTCTGGGGAGGGGGTTTGGGGGTTTGGGGAGTTTGGGGGTTTGGGGGTTTAAAGGGTGGGGAGGGGGTTTGGGGGTGGGGAGGGGTTTGGGGGTTTAAAGGGTGGGGAGGGGGTTTGAGGGGTTTATGGAGGGATTTGAGGGGTTAAAGGGTGGGAGGGGTTTGGGGGTTTTGGGGAGTTGGGGGTTTGGGGGCTTAAAGGGTGGGGAGGGGTTTTGGAGGGTTCATGGAGGGATTTGAGGGGTTAAAGGGTGGGAGGGGGTTTGGGGTGGGGAGGGGTTTTGGGGGTGGGGAGGGGGTTTTGGAGGGGTGGGGGCCTGAGGGGGTTCAAAGAGGGATTTGGGGGCTTAAAGGGTGGGAGGGGTTTTGGGGGCCTGAGGGGTTCAAAGAGGGATTTTGGGGGTTAAAAGGGTGGGGAGGGGGTTTTGGAGGGGTGGGGGTTCACAGGGGGTTTGGGGGAGCCCTGAGGGGTTCATGGAAGGATTTTGGGGGATTTAAGGAGGGGAAGGGGTCTCGTGGGGTTTGGAGGGGGTCGAGCATTTTTGGGGTGGGGGGTCACAGGGGGCTTTGGGGAGCCCTGAGGGGTTCAAGGAGGGATTTGGGGGTTTAAAAGCAGGGAGGGGGTTTGGGGGAGTGGGGGTCTGGGGTTCACGGGGAGTTTGAGGGGTCCTGAGGGGGTTCAAAGAGGGATTTGGGAGGGTTTTAAACAGGGAGGGGGTTTGAGGGCAGTGGGGGCACAGGGGGTTTTGGGGAGTTCTGAGGGGGTTCACAGAAGGATTTGGGGGATTTAAGGAGGAGGTCACAAGTGGGATTTTTGGGGTGGGGGGATGACCAAAGAAACATCTTTGTGGTGTCCTGTGGGAAGGGGGGAAAGAAAAGGGGTCTTCAAACTTTGTAGGGGGTTTGTTGGCTCTGGGGGTCTCACCCTCTGCCCCCAAACCCCTAAACCCCCCTAAACCCCCCCAAACCCCCCTAAACCCCCCAACCCCCCAGGAGACGACGTTCCGGAATTACCAGCGGGTCCGGCTGAGGCCGGAGCAGTTCCCGGCCTACCTGACCTCCCCCGAGGTGGGCTTTGAGCGCTTCGAGCTCCTGGGGACCCCCCAGCACAGCTCCAAAGGTGAGGGGGACCCCCAAAAACCTCCCCAAAATACCCCCTGACCCCCCCCAGCACAGCTCCAAAGGTGAGGGGACCCCCAAAAATACCCCCTGACCCCTCCCTGAACCCCCCAAAATACCCCCTGACGCCCCAAAACAACCCCCTGACCCCCAAAATACCCCCTGAACCCCCAGCACAGCTCCAAAGGTGAGGAGACCCCCAAAACCTCCCCAAAATACCCCCTGACCCCTAAAATAGCTCCTGACCCCCCCAGCACAGCTCCAAAGGTGAGGGGACCCCAAAAATACCCCCTGACCCCTCCCTGAACCCCCAAAATACCCCCTGACGCCCCCAAACAACCCCTGACCCCCCAAAATACCCCCTGACCCCTCCCTGAGCCCCCAGCACAGCTCCAAAGGTGAAGGGACCCCAAAACATCCCCAAAATACCCCCTGACCCCCCAGCACAGCTCCAAAGGTGAGGGGACCCCAAAAAATACCCCCTGACCCCCCAAAATACTCCCTGAGCCCCTAAAATACCCCCTGACCCCCCAGCACAGCTCCAAAGGTGAGGGGACCCCAAAAATACCTCCTGACCCCCAAAATACCTCCTGAGCCCCCTGACCCCCCAGCACAGCTCCAAAGGTGAGGGGGACCCCCAAAACCTCCCCAAAAAACCCCCTGACCTCCCCCAAAATTACTCTCTGAGCCCCCAGCACAGCTCCAAAGGTGAGAGAGACCCCCAAAACCTCCCCAAAATACCCCCTGACCCCTCCCCTGACTCCCCAAAATCCCCCTGAGACCCCCAAACACCCCCTGACCCCTCCCAAAAACACCCCAAGACTCCCCCAAATACCCTCTGAGCCCCCCAAAACACCCCGAGACCCCAAAATACTCCCCTGAGCTCCCCCAAAAACACCCCCTGAGACTCCCAAAACACCCCCTGAGACCCCCAAAATACCCTCTGACCTCCCTAAAACACTCCCTGACTCCCCAAAACATCCCCTGAGCTCCCCAAAACACTCTCTGACCCCTCCCAAAAACACTCCCTGAGACCCCCAAAACACCCTCGACCCCCAAAAACACTCCCTGAGACCCCCAAACCCTCCCTGACTCCCAAAACACCCCCTGAGACCTCCAAAACACCTCCTGAGACCCCCAAAAACACCTCGAGACTCCCCAAAATACCCCCTGACCCTCCCTGACCCCCCAGCACAGGTCCAAAGGTGAGACTCCCAAAATCTCCCTAAACACTCCTGACCCCCAAAACACCCTCTGACTCCCCCAAAACACCCCCTGACCCCCAGGGTTTCCAGAGGGGGTGAGACCCAAACTGTGGGGGCTGTTTTAGGTATTTTTGGGGGTCCCAATGTTGGGAGGGGGTCCCCACCACCCAAATGGGATCTCCCCTCCCCTTTTCTGACCTCCCTTTCCCCCAGGCTTCCAGAGGCCGATTTATCTCTTCCACAAGGGACAAGGTGACACCCCTGAGTCCCCTCCCCTCCCCCTCTCCCAGGACCCCCCAAATGTTTGGGGGCTCTGATGTCGCCAGGGGTGGGGGAGGGGCTGGGGTAGCTTCCTCCCCCCCAAAAAAAAGATGCCAAAAGGGAGGAGGGGGCTCTGCTTCCCCCACCCCCCCAATTTTGGGGTGTTCCCCCAATTTTTGGGGTGTTCCCCCAATTTTTGGGGTGTTCTCCCAATTTTGGGTGTTCTCACCCCCACCCCCGCATGGTTTGCTCTGAGTGAGGGGGGTCTGGGGCCCCTCCCCCAAATTAAAAAGGAGGTGATTTGATTGGTCAGCAGGGTGGGGCTGCTTTATTTTGGGGGTGGTTTGAACACCCCCTCCCCAATTTTGGGGTGGGGGTTGAGATTTTGGGGAGGGGGTTTGAGATTTTGGGGAGGGGGAGGTCAAAATCACACCACAAATTGTTATAAAATGAGGGTTTATTTTTTTGGGGGGATTTAAAGGTGGAAAAGGAGAATTTGGGAGGGGAGGGGAGAGAATTTGGGGGACACAGGAGGGTTTAGGGAGGAGATTTTGGGGAGGGGGGTCAAAATTCACATCACAAATTGTTATAAAATGAGGGCTTATTTTTGAGGGGAAAAAGGGGATCTGAAGGTGGAAAAGGAGAATTTGGGGGAGAGAATTTTGGGGGACAGGAGGGTTTAGGAGGAGATTTTGGGGAGGGGGGCCAAAATTCACACCACAAATTGTTATAAAATGAGGGTTTATTTTTTTGGGGGATTTGAAGGTGGAAAAGGAGGATTGGGGAGAGAATTTTGGGGGGACAGGAGGGTTTAGGGAGAAGATTTTGGGGAGGGGGGGCAAAACTCACCACAAGTTGTTATAAAATGAGGATTTATTTTTTTGGGGGGAAAGGGGGATTTAAAGGTGGAAAAGGAGAATTTTGGGGAGGGACAGGAAGGTTTAGGGAGGAGATTTTGGGGAGGGGGGTCAAAAATCACACCACAAATTGTTATAAAATAAGGGCTTATTTTTTTGGGGGAAAAAGGGGATTTGAAGGTGGAAAAGGAGAATTTGGGGAGGGGGAAGAGAATTTTGGGGGACAGGAGGGTTTAGGAGGAGATTTTGGGGAGGGGGGTTCAAAACTCACACCACAAATTGTTATAAAATAAGGGTTTATTTTTTTGGGGGAAAAGGGATTTGAAGGTGGAAAAGGAGGATTTGGGGGAGGGGGAGAGAATTTTGGGGAGGGGGACAGGAGGGTTTAGGAGGAGATTTTGGGGAGGGGTCCAAAAATCACACCACAAATTGTTATAAAATGAGGGCTTATTTTTTTGGGGGGATTAAAGGTGGAAAAGGAGAATTTGGGAGGAGGGGGAGAGAATTTGGGGCGGACAGGAAGGTTTAGGGAGGAGATTTTGGGGAGGGGGGTCAAAATTCACACCACAAATTGTTATAAAATGAGGGTTTATTTTTTGGGGGGATTTAAAGGTGGAAAAGGAGAATTTGGGAGGAGGGGGAGAGAATTTGGGGGCGGACAGGAAGGTTTAGGGAGGAGATTTTGGGAGGGGGTCAAAATTCACACCACAAATTGTTATAAAATGAGGGTTTATTTGGGGGAAAAGGGGATTTAAAGGTGGAAAAGCAGAATTTTGGGGGAGAATTTGGGGGACAGGAAGGTTTAGGAGGAGATTTTGGGAGGGGGGTCAAAACTCACACCACAAATTGTTATAAAATGAGGGTTTATTTTTGGAGGGGGGAAAGGGGGATTTAAAAGTGGAAAAGGAGGATTTGGGGGAGGGGGAGAGAATTTGGGGGACAGGAGGGTTTAGGGAGGAGATTTTGGGGAGGGGGGTCAAAACTCACACCATAAATTGTTATAAAATGAGGATTTATTTTTGGGGGAGGATTTGAAGGTGGAAAAGGAGAATTTGGGAGGAAGGGGAGAGAATTTGGGGGGGACAGGAAGGTTTAGGGAGAAGATTTTGTGGAGGGGGGTCAAATTCATATCACAAATTGTTTATAAAATGAGGGTTTATTTTTTTGGGGGATTTAGTGGAAGAGGATTAGGCAGGAGGAGAATTTTGGGGGGACAGGAGGGTTTAGGGAGAAGATTTTGGGGAGGGGGGTCAAAAACTCACACCACAAGTTGCTATAAAATGAGGAGTTTATTTTTTGTGAAGGGGATTAAAGGTGAGCAGAAGGTGGGAGAAGGAGAATTTTGGGGGGACAGGAAGGTTTAGGGAGAAGATTTTTGGGGAGGGGGGTCAAAACTCACATCACAAATTGTATAAAATGAGGGTTTATTTTTTTGGGGGAGAAAGAGGGGATTTGAAGGAGTGGAAAAGCAGAATTTGTGGGAGGACAGGAAGATTTAGGGAGGAGATTTTGGGAGGGGGTCAAAATTCACACCACAAATTGTTATAAAATGAGGGTTTATTTTTTGGGGGAAAGGGGGATTTGAAGGTGGAAAGTAGAATTGTGGAGAAGAACTTTGAGGGGACAGGTTTAGGAGGAGATTTTGGGAGGGGGTTCAAACTCACACCAAATTGTTATAAAATGAGGGTTTATTTTGGGGGAGGAGTTGAAAAAGGAGGATTTGGGGGAGGGGGAGAGAATTTGGGGGACAGAAGGTTTAGGAGGAGATTTTGGGGAGGGGGGTCAAAACTCACACCACAAATTGTTATAAAATGAGGGTTTATTTTTTGGGGAGGATTGAAGGTGATAAGAATTGGGAGAAAGGAGAGAATTTGGAGGGACAGGAAGGTTTAGGGAGAAGATTTTGGGAGGGGGTCAAAATTACACCACAAATTGTTATAAAAATGAGAGGTTATTATTTTTGGGGGATTTGAAGGTGGAAAAGCAGAATTTTGGGGGACAGGAAGGTTTAGGGAGAAGATTTTGGGGAGGGGGTGGGGTCTCAGCCCCCCACCGCTGCAGCTTCCCAAACATGGCAAAGGCGGCTCCGGGGGTGGGGAGGGGCCGGGGGTCTCGTCGAGGGGGTTGGGAGGGGCAACCAAGGCACCCCACCCTCCTCCCAGCCCCCCACCAAAACCCCCAACTCAGGCCCGGGACCTGTGGGGGAGGGGCAGAGAATTTAAAGTTGGGGGTCCATCAGCACTGGGGGCTTAAGGGTGAGGGGGGTCTCTCACCTGCGGGGGGTCGCGGGGGCGGACCCCCTGCGAGGGTTTGGGGGGCACGGCCAGGCTGATGAGACCTCTGAAGAGGCGCCGGCGTGGGGCACGTTCATGGCTGGAATAAAATGGGGAAAATTGGGTTAAAAAATAAAAGGGGGGTTGATGGGACCCCCACCCATCACGGGAGACCCCTTCCCATGACGGGAGACTCCCAGGCCCCCTGACCTCCGCTGGCCGCCCCCCCCACGGCGCTGCGGGCGGCGAAGGAGCTGCCCAGGAGCGAGGCCGCGGCCCGGGGGGCGTCAAAGGGGGTCCTGGGGTCCTGGGGCCCCCGGCCGCTGCTGTGCAGGGTGGGGGTCGCCAGAGGCGGGGGGGGAGAGGAGACCCCCCCAGAATCATCGTCGTCCTCCTCATCCTCGTCGTGAGCTGCGAATCGAACCTGGAAGGGGGGATGGGGGGGGTGGAAAAATTGGGGTCTGGGTGTGACTCCCTCCCTTCCCCCAAAATTGAGGGGTTTGAGTCCCCCCCACCCTCCATCTTCTCCCATTTTGGGGTATTTACGCCCCCAAAATTTAACTCCCCCCTCCTCCCTCCCTTTCCCCCAAAATTGAGGGGTTTGAGGTTCCCCTTGTCCCATTTTGGGGTATTTACGCCCCCCAAAATTTAACTCCCCCCATGGGGCCACATTTTGGGGTATTTGACCCCCCCTCTCTATTTTGGGGGTCTTTACCCTCCCCAAACCTGGAGAGGGGGTGGGGAAAATTGGGGTCTGGGTGTGACCCCCTCTATTTCCCAAAATTGAGGGTTTGAGTCCCCCCCTATCTTCTCCCATTTTGGGGTATTTACAACCCCCCCAAAATTTAACTCCCCCCGCCTCCACGGGGCCACATTTTGGGGTATTTGAGCCCCCTCTCTATTTTGGGGGTCTTTACCCTCCCCGAACCTGGAGAGGGGGTGGGGAAAATTGGGGTCTGGGTGTGACCCCCCCTCTATTTCCCCCAAAATTGAGGGGTTTGAGTCCCCCCCCCTCCCTTCTCCCATTTTGGGGTATTTACCCACCCCCCAAAATTTAACTCCCCCCTCCTCCCTCCCTTTCTCCAAAATTGAGGGGTTTGGAGTCCCCCTCCATCTTCTCCCATTTTGGGGTATTTACCCCCTCCCCAAAATTTAATCTCCCCCCAAAAGGGGCAACATTTTTGGAGTATTTGAGCCCCCTCTCTCTATTTTGGGGCTCTTACTGTCCCCGAACCTGAGAGGGGGTGGGAAAATTGGGGTCTGGGTGTGAATCCCCCTCCTTTCCCAAAATTGAGGGGTTTGGAGTCCCCCTCCCCTCCCCTTGTCCCATTTTGGTATGTACACCCCCCTGCCAAAATTTAACTCCTCCCAAAGGGGCCACATTTTGGGGTATTTGAGCCCCTCTCTATTTTGGGGGTCTTTACTCCTCCCCGAACCTGGGAGAGGGGTGGGGAGAATTGGGGTCTGGGTGTGACCCCCTCCCTTCCCCCAAAATTGAGGGGTTTGAGTCCCCCCTCCCCTCTTGTCCCATTTTGGGGTATTTACCCCCTCCCCAAAATTCTAACTTCCCTCCTCCCTCCCTTTCCCAAAATTGAGGGGGTTTGAGTGTCCCCCTCCATCTTCTCCCATTTTGGGGTATTTACCCCCCAAATTTAACTCCCTCCACGGGGCCACATTTTGGGGTATTTGAGCCCCCTCCTCTCTATTTTGGGGATCTTTACCCTCCCCAAACCTGGAGAGGGGGTGGGAAAAATGGGGTCTGGGTGTGACCCCTCCCTTCCCTCAAAATTGAGGGGTTTGAGTCCCTCCCCCCATCTTCTCCCATTTTGGGGTATTTACCCCCACCCCACCCCCAGAATTTAACTCCCCCTCCCTCCTCCCTTTCCCCAAAATTGAGGGGTTTGACTCCCCTCCATCTTCTCCCCA